AATTCATATGAAAGTGATAAATTACATGATAAATGACTCCTAGGCCATTACTAGGAGATGGGATACTTCAGCCAAACCTGACAAAAACAAGGACTCATGAACCGTGCATTCTATTAAACAAGGAAGTGGTTTAAAGGGGAGTAAATGTAGTTATCAGCACCACATGTGCTCGGGGCCTGTAATATCCAGATGCTAGAGAGAAGTTTTGAGAGTCAAGGACACCAACTGCTGCCGCAATGAGTGTCACAGGGTGTACATGTAACTCCGGGGCCCCCTTGCCTTGACCCTCTTCAGTCTTGAATAGAGACGATTCTCTATCGTGACCCAACACAAATATTCAAAATCCTCCGAGGTGCTGAGAAAGTCCACCCGGCGGACTGAAAGCACAGGGGAAAAGGTACCACCTCGCACTGATGTTTTTCATTTCCCTCACTCTGCTCGTCTGACTTTTTTTTTTTGGGTTGTGTGGTTTGGCTTGTTCCTGCTGCTGCTGTTCTGATTTTGTTGACGTGACTTTCTGCATGCAAATGGGCATGTCTTTGCACTTGTACGCATGACAGATAAACTGAACAGAGGACTCCAGAGGCGACTGGAAGTGCATTTCAACTGAGAACAAGGCACACTTCTCTACACAAAGAGTTGTGGGAGCACAGAAGAGACTTCACAGCCATGACGTTGAAGGTCTCTTACAGAGACGTCCGGATGAGATCTTTGGATCATTATAAGTACTAACACACTTATCTGGGACGATCAGCCTCCCCTAGACAGTGATGAAGTTCTTTGATGTTAACATACTGAAAACAAGCCAACAGAAGTAAGACAGGGCAGGGCTGACCTATATTATTTTTTAGTACAAAGTAAAAAATGTAGTTATTAATTGTCGCGAAGAAAACACAGTTACAAAGAGCTGGGCTGCTATCCATGACCCGACTAATCCTGAATAACAGAGGTCTATCGCAGATTAACCGTCAGAAATCTTAAGCACGTAAACAATATTATTTTACTGGTCTCTAAGGAAGATTAAAGCGCAGAGTCGGTAAACACGTATCAGGACACAACCCGCTCATTAAAAACAACTGAATGTGTTTTTGACATGATGCAAGTTTTGTATTTATGTGAGAACAGCGTCACGTAGGAGCTGTAACGTCCAGACGGCAACATTTTAAACCAATACTTTTAATTTTTTAACAAAATAACGTAGTTACGTCGACGGTTACTAACTTGTCGGGTTTTCTACAAAACTGCCACAAGTCACATATGGCTCTCTGTGTAGTACAGGCTACAGCTAGGACGAGAAAGCTGTGGTATAAAAACGACGTGCTCTGATTATAACCGACTTGCCTTACGTTTAAGAAATACAAACGTGCATCGTACGTTTTACGAAAACGAGTAAAATTACAGCTGAAAATCGTGACCGTAAAACGTTCAGGCCACAAGAGACGTGATCCCGACTTTTCGTACGACTGTGGCAAAAACAATTTCACAACTTGTAATTAATTCATGAGCACACCTTGCCGGTATAGATCGAGTCCACTTGCTTCTTAAAATAAAAATAAAATTCGCCGTACCTTTAAGGGGGGGGGCGCAGATAGTTCCCCGCTGGTACCGAGGAATGTTGCAGCTACTCCGGCTGAAGGTGTCAGGACAGGCCGCGGCGTCACATGAGGCCTGTCTTCAAAAACAACGCGACACACTCTCGCATCAAGTGTGACAGAAACACAACTGGGGCAAAGAGTCTTAAAATGTCATTCTGAACATAAGATATAAAATTATAACGCAAAAAAAATAGCGAAACTAAAAATTGCTCCCCGCTACGCTTGCTGTTTTGTAAACATCAACTCGTTTCAAGTCTTTGAAAACACGATACATCTTGACACTGACTGGCAGCTGTTATTTCCCGATCACAAGCTCGGTGGGAGGAAACTCGTACTCCAAGCTGTCCATTTTTCTCTCTTTTTTTGGGGGGGAAGAGAGGACACAACGTTACGCCTTAAGACTCAACACCGTGTCTCGCCGCCGCTTTCACAAAAAAAAAAATGGAAAAAAATAAATAAAAAGAAAGAGAATAACGTTAGACCGAGCACTTGCTCCATTAACTGTACTGAAACCTTCAGGGTTTTCTCCAGCTGCGCCGTCGATAACGATGACCCTTTGCACAAATGCACGCTTGCCCTGCAAACCAAAAGCGAATTTCCGACAACAAAAAAAAAGAAAGAAAGAGGGGTGAATAAATTCGTAGCGTTTTTACCCCGGGTGTTTTTCGTCTCCTGCTTTCGCTTGCAGAAGGAAAGTGTTGGTTAAAAAACAGCTCCCCCCGACCGCGTCCTACACACCAGCAGCGCCGCCTCTCCGCTCACACTTAACCCCTGCGGCCCCGGAGCCGACCCGACTGCTGGGAGGAGAGGTACTGTTTTACCAACAAAGCACCTTTGTTTTTGTTTTTTTCCCCCACTTCCTCGTCCCAGAAAAAAAATACCCGATATTAAAATCCCACAGAAGTCCCATTTTTTACAGATCTGGTTGCTTAAGATTGGTAACACAGCGGGTCCATTAGAGCGGTTTCTCCGATATTAAAAAAGGGGGGCTTTTAGGTCAGAGCTGGGCTTCAACTTCCTTCTGTCGGGGAAAATGATTGAATCCCTTATTTGACTACGTTATTCTGCGCCCTTTAGAGAACAAACGCATTTACAAGTACAAACTGGAGGTCTAAAATGAACGCGTACAGGGGCAGTCTGAAAGAAGTGTCCGTCGCAGGATTTGTACCCCAAATAGGCAGTCCAACACCCTAAACCCTACTGGAGAAACGGGAAAAGTAACCCGCCTGCCCACAAATACCAGTCGCTACAACGATCATGCTGCTAAATGCAATGGTCAATGAATTGAGGCGTTCGTTTTATACAGTTTATTAAAACAAAGATACAATGATACAAACACACAAGAAGACACCTTCCATCTTATATAAATCTATAATAACAAATGACCAGCATATCATTTATTTTAATTTCAGACAAAATTACAACCACATAAATGCAAATTATACAAAAAAGGAAATAATGGCATAGTTCAACGTGGCATATACTGTAGCACCAGTGATTCGTCTCAGCCAGCTAAGGCAAAATAATTCAACTTCCCAATCAGAAGGAAAGGTTATGAAATACAGGAGGCCACTGCCTACCAATGAGGTGTACAGGTATCTGGAAGAACCATGTAGACAACAGAGCTTATCTAGTGTCTGTACAGATCTGTGAACTGAATCATAGAGATCCCTTCTGCAGGAAGTACTATTAACACAGAAAGCCTTCTTATGGTACAGTGTATATGCTATAAATATACAACTAAACAATGAGATGAAAAATTAATTGGGGGTGAAAATGTATTTGCTAAATTCAGTTTTCTTAAATTGTGAATTATATGCAGTTTCACGACGCTTTTATCAAACTGCACAGATAATGCCACCAGATTAGTTACTCAGCTTTTAAAACTGATGATGTATTGTTGTATGAGCTGGAGAATTTGAGCTGCAAGCTAAAAAAAAAGCAAGTCTGCTTTTATATAATACCACTGTACTGCATAAGGTATGCAAATACAAGCTCTACTTGTAATCTTTAATACGTTTGTCAGAATACATTCATGAGCAATTTGCTTTTAAAGGCACTGTATTAAATAAATTCTTAATGAACTGTATAGCTCCTGGAGCTCTTTTCTGTAAATAAAAAAGGAAACACAGATTGCACTAAACTTCAGTGAACTTAGCAGAACAGCTTTTGTCAGTGCAACCCCTGGTCTTGTGTGCCTAAACCTTTTATTGACAGAGTCAACAAGCTGGATAGCGAATTCCTTTGACTTATTAACAGTGGCCCACAGAAATGAATATAATCTGACAACGTGCCTGCAAACAGAGTCCATATGCGCATGCAACATTGTGCTGCCACTGCACGTCACTGAAGAATGTGTCACAATACTAGCCATCACTAGCCCTTATTTTGAGTGTATTGTGATGTCCTCCTCCAGTGCAAATTCACTGGTGTCATTTCTGTGCCTCTAATTCCCCATCACAGTCAAAGACATGGTGGGGATTTGTGGTTTCCAAATCACATTTCAGGTCAGCATTACATAGAAACCAAGTGCTCTATCCCATATAATTTGTGTTTTTTTACTCAATACATAATAAAGTCATAGTTCATATAAGTCAGAATTCTTAAAGCAATAATGCGAAGCTCTGAAACCCTGAATTTTCCCATTTGTTGCATAGTCCTCAGATTTATGATGTGCTAAATAAAGCATTAATGAACGGCAGACAGCTGTGTCTTGTGAGACAGTAGATGGGTTTTGTTTCTACAGAAAGTCTTGACGCAGTTGTGTCTCAGGCAGGAATATTTGCAAAGCACTGTCTGTACTGAATCCTAGTGCTTAGCCTCTGCACACAGGATTTACAGCACAATGCAGGTGAATTCACAAGGATGATGAACTTGCACAAGATAATAAATGCAACGCAAGGATCCTCAGCTGATTTAAAGGCATAAAGCATAGTACTTAGTGAGCACCCTTTTTGTAGAACAATAGCTGTGCCCCTGATAAGAGCACATTGTTAAATCATACAATATTAAAGTGAGCCTGAAATAACCTGAAGTCCCACTAGTTCATGAAAGTACCTGAAGTTAATCTGAGAAGACACAGTAAAAAAAAAATCTACAGCAGACATGTCACTGCCATAAACCTGGGTTAATGACAAAAGGTACCATCAAAAATGTATAGTGTTTTTTTAAAAAACTTAATTTTATAAATTAGCACCTGTCTTAATATAAAAGTCTCTGTAAACAAAAAATATTAACATGTTCTTCTGGAGGACGTGGCCTCTGGGCGAGTCTCATGAGGAGGCGTTTCAGAAGAGCCACCCTTCTCTGCAGGGAGAAAGGGGAGGCGCTGACTGGCTCCAGCTCTTCTTCTCCCTACCCAGAGGCCCAGACAGACCGAGAAACTCCCTCCGTCCCGTCCTCCAGTGTCCCGCTCGAGATCAGGGGTCTTTCAACCTTCGGGAGGCTTGGTGCCATCGGGGGTTAGTTCCAGCTTTCGTTTACACAGCTGGTCTCGTTTAATCAGCGCCACTTCTATCCAGGCTCTGAGGCGATTCACGGATAACTGTCCCAGTGAAGAAGTGAATATTTGGAGAAATCAGCTGTACAGTTACACAAAGTCCGGCGCGTGTCGGAGAGAATAATAAGGTTGAGTTTAACCGACTCCTCAGCTCGGAGCCCACTCTGGACGTTTCCACTCTAGCTGAAGCAGACGGGCCCGATGGTGAATCCGAACTCCTGGCCGTCGTTGCCGCTGTGAAACACTGCCAGGTCCCTCACAGGCAGCAGGTCAACGTCCCCCGTGTCGAACTGGAAAACAGCCTCCCGAGACCCAGGCCCGGCCTCCAATCTGTCCGGGGGCTGTGGCGCACAAAAGAAGAGTCAGACCCTCCGTGTCGCACGCTCTGGGAGTGAAACAGGCCGCCGCATCCTGGATTTAGGAACTTCTCCACGCACATATATACATGAGCACATGCCACCGCCGCGCAAACGTGTGGAGAACATGCAAGCTCCACACGAACCATGTGGAGCACATGCTACCTCCACACAAACCATGTAGGGAACATGCAAGCTCCACACAAAGCATGTGTGGAACATGCTACCTCCACATGAACCACGCGGAGAACATGCAATCTCCACACAAAGCATGTGGAGCACATGCCACCTTCACACGAACCATGTGGAGCACATGCAAGCTCCACACAAACCATGTGGGGAACATGCTACCTCCACATGAACCACGCGGAGAACATGCAAGCTCCACACAGATAGATGCCCCATGTTGGAACCACACCCAGGCCCGTGGAGCCACGAAGCTGTAGTGATAATCACCACTCCACTGCGCTGCCCTCCTTATAAGGCATGGCTCTTTTCACGGTGTGTCCACGGCCCACTTCGCCCATATGCTTAGAGCATATGTGCAAAGGTAGGTGGTCTATTCAAAAGGCTACGTCTTGAAAACTGCACTGTGGAGGAATGCAGATGACTCACAAGAACATTGGTGGTGCACGTCTGAGGGCACTGCTGTCCTAAGCTACCATGGACACAACAACCACGTACTGAGGCGAACCAGTGCCCTGGAGCACTGACAGGGTTAAAGCCCTGGTCCCCATGGTCTGTACTGCAACTGTACCAAATGCCATTGCTCCACATGCACAGATTTCATAACGGATGCAGTCTGAATAGACCAGCTCATCCCGCGCCTTCAAAACTGCGAGGAAGGTGCTCGCATTAGCTGGAGCAAACAAAACTGTCAAGTTTCTTCAGGGCTTTCCTTTTCCTTCTCGTCATGATCAAATCAAAACACACACCGCCGAGAGAGATTGTAAAGAAATCGTACCGAACACTCCTTCAGCGTGCCCAAAAAACTCTGCCGCTTGGAATCTGCCAGGAATTTGATCTCGCTTTCCCTTTGGCTTTGTGTGAGGCCGGGGTGGCAGGAGTGGGTGATTTTCTGCGTCGCAAAGTTGCTGTTGAGTTTCAAAAAACGCATCTGCACCACATTGGCCCCCGAGTACTCAAACTGCAGACGAGCAAAAGGGTGGGGGTAGGGGAGCCGTTTAGTATGGAATTGGAGTCGGAGCTGTGTGAACTGCACACTCACCACGACGTTCGAGTTCTGTCAATGGCTCACCTGGAAACCCTCCTGCAATCCACTGAGCCACTCGAAGGACTCCTCCTTCCCATAATCCTTCAGCCACGCTCTCACTGGTACCTGGGGGTGGGACAGACGGGACAATCATCATCTACCACAGAGCCGCGAGGCCGCCCTCACCTCCTCCAGGCGTCCAGCTACTGGAACAGCTCTAACCAGCTACACGGCCCAGTGAGTTCAGTGAGGCCCGGGTCCACGCCCTACAGCGCCTGTGCATTTCACTGCATAATTCCACCACATCCTCAATTTCTGTAATCTGCCAAACTCAAGTAAAAAACAAGTAAGCAACACGGTTTCCTGAAGCCCACTAGGAATATTAAAAATTGTGCATCGTTTATATTCTTCCCCCATCTCAAGGTCCCATCTCCAGCCTCACGGCACCTTTCCGAATAGCCTCGTGATGGTTCAGCAGATACTCTCACCCGGAGAGCAACGAGAGAGGACCTCGCAAGTCACATGGAGCAGAAAGTCACTGAACCGAAGAGACGCTGCGGGAGACAAACCACTGCTACTTTAATGGCCACAGAGGTCACGTTACCTGATCTGGCACTGGTGAGAGGCAGGTCTGTCCACCCCCGGAGAAGTTGCAGTATAATAGCAGTGCGTCCGCGGGGCTCCCCTGGTTTGGATCAATGTAATAAAAGCCTAGGAAAGGCAGACGACACAACATGAAGCGGTAAACTCATAATTGTGACTCGACGCGTATCGACTCGGACACGTCAAGCACACAAACAGGAATTCAGGCCTGGCGTGATGTGAAGGGGACCTGAAGACGCGAGCCTCAAGTCCCACTGCAGGCGAACTACAGGCAGCGCCGCGCTTCGTAAAGAACGGATCGGGCGGGGAGTTAAAAACGGGCTCGTGTCCGGCTGGCGCCTCACCGTCAGTGTAGTGGGGCTGGCAGAGCCGCAGCTCCTGGCAGGTCGTGGCGGGGCGCTCCTTGGTGCCGTCAGGGGGGTCCACGAGCAGCCGGACCTCCTGGTGCAGGACGTCCAGGAGGGCCAGGATCAGTGGGTAATTGGGCTGGTCCGACACGTGCATGAGGGCCTGCGGGTTTCCAATCAGATTCGGGCTCATTCATCCACAGCGTTTGCGTCTGGACGGCAACGCAACAGCGGCTCGGCGTGCTTTTCAGACCAGACTTTTCACGCCCATAACTGGGGTAGGAAATTCACAGACTGTCTCCCGACCGCAGCTCCTGCACACGAGGGCCGTCGTGGGACAGTATCTATCTGGATCCACGTCAGTCCAGGAGGTCTGTTTCACTGGACGGAGGTGCTCGTGAATACAGCTTGCAAAGGCGCTAAGTGCTGCAGTTACTATGAAAACTGCTGCAGGCAGCAGATATTCTAAATGCTGTACTTCTTTCACACACTCCTCTCGCTATAAGGAACTGCAACCCCCAAATGTGTGACTGACTCGCTGCATTGTACTGCTCAGTAACAGCACCCAGCATCTTGCACCTTTCTATCACTGACCTCCCCGAGACAGTTTGCAAAGCTCTGGGAAGACCTACCTTCAGCTGCTCAAGGGTGATATTTATGGAGGCTCCTGGGGGACCGGGGAGCCCTGGTGTCCCCTGAATCAAATAATAAAAAAAAAGACGAATACAAAGCGATGAATAGAGGCATTTCAATTCACCCATATTTTGTTTTTAAAGTGGGTCGTCAGAAACCATTTGCAGATCAACCACTTCCCTGTCTGTATTGGCATTTCAGTCCATAAGCTTCCTATATAGACTGGCAATAGCATTGGGGAGTGTTGCACACAGTTGATCACAGATGCAGAGAGAGACGGCACAAATGCTGCATTATAAACATTTGTTCATAATACTAGGCCATCAGAAAGAGCAGCCCATTGCGTCACTGCAACAATGCCTCACTATGACACCACAAAGACTGGGTTTAAAGTCGAATGAAGAGTGAAGAGTCAAATGCATGTACAGTACAACATCATTTAGACCAGCCCAGAGGAACAGCAGGCAAGAGTTGCTTACAGGAAGTCCCTTCTCTCCTTTTAGTCCAGGAGGTCCAGCAAAGCCTTTAAGGCCCTAAGAGCAGAAAATGAAAGCATATTACACCTAGCACTGATCAGATGCCTATGCAATTAAAATGTATAATCATCGACACTGCTTCATTAAGTAATCCCATCAGGGTGTAATTAGTCATTGGATGACAGTGCTGTCTTGAGTCCAGACTTGAGGTTATGCAGACTGACAGTACAGCATGCGACTCCTTCCTGGATGGGATGCTGATCTGGTGCAGCGTCACCCCTCAGCAGTGCTGGTACCCATTTGTACAGACTGGGTGGACTGGAGCCATTAGGGTGCAGGGGTGCACCAGAAACGTCTGCGTCGGAGACCTGAACTGACAACCATCTCTAAGCTGCATTACCCATACCCCCACCACATATTTGATAAAGGCTCCTGCAAAAATAATAATACTTCCAAATCCCACCATGTAATACTGCATAGCATCTTCAGTGAAGCACTTGCTTCAAAGCCCCTGCAGTTTTTGCCAAGAAGCACAAGAAGTTGTACAACACTGAGGACCTGAGTCCTGCTGGATTCAGAGGGATTTACAGACAGTACCTTTTCTCCAAACAAGCCCTGGGGAGGACAAGAAAAAGAAACTTACAATGCAAACTCAGACACTTTTTAATAAAAGAAATAAAAGCAACTGACAATGCACTGGAACAGGAAGCTGAAATAATGGCAGCAGCGTCGATACTACTTATAATCACCCTTTAAAGCTCTCTCCTATAAGAGTCCTGCGAGTGGCTCCTAATCTTCTAATCTCCACTTAATGGGCTTTGTGTAATATGCTCACGGCACAGGTAAATCCAGCTACTCCACAGAGATTGAATAAAGATTAGTGGTACAATCTTGCCTTTTGATTGAAAATCACGCTGTCTGTATTGGATTGGGTGGAAACATTTCAGAAAAGAGAAGCAGCTGGTATAAAGGCGGAGCTTCTGGAGGTGTTAACACTCTGGAGGAAAAGGGTTCTGAGGGTGTCTGAACATCCCCAATGGAAGTTTATCGCAGTCAATGAGTAGCTCAGTTTCTTACGTTTTACCCCATGTATATTACACCCTTACAGACAAACAAGACCCAAGAATACCTGCATACGAGTGGAGGCTATTCAGACTACCGGGCTTGTCTGGCGTTCAGTAATTTGATGCGGTTTGTCTTTGGCTTTCACCATGATTTCACAGTGCACTACTGGACCTGACCCAGTCTCCACAGCGGTGTCACGTCAGTAAGGATTAAGAAAAGGTAACTTACAGGCAGCCCTGGGAGGCCTGGAGATCCAGGTGGGCCAGCAGGACCGATATCCCCCTTCAGACACACACAGACAGCAGGTGAAACAGACCGATTCCCTGCGCCAGTAGATCCTGCTCCTGTGCCTCATGGAATCTGGCCGTTCCAATGCGTGGACACCTCACCTCTCTTCCTGCTCTGCAGCTGTTATTTCAGTCTGTCTGGCCTTTATGTTCTGCGCTATGTCCAGTGTACTTCTGTATTGAGCTAACCAATCTTGTGCATTTCTGTGGCTTCAAAGTCTCTTTATTAATTTATATAACATATGCTTACACTTCAGCTTTATTTTGATGTATAATTTTTCTTTATTTGCACAGTATTTAGCATGGGACCTGCAATCACATTCTGTTTACTGAATTAAAAAATGACGGGAGAAAGGTTTTAAACAAGATCATGCTCGTTTTGGTTGCCAGTATGCGCTTAATCAAAGCATCTCATCCAACTTCTTTTCCTCACAGGAGCCCAGCGAGGTAAACTTCATCAACCTGGGGAGGTAGTTTGTTCCAGACACCCATGACTTTGTGTAAAGAACTCTCCTCCATCCCGAATTTCCCCACTGACTTTCTGTTTCACACTTAAAACAAGTTTATTTATATACAAAAACAAATGTGTATATATACATAAGAAGTTTATTTACCTGCTCCCCCTTCATTCCCTGTGGTCCCTCCTCCCCTGGGGGACCCCGTCTCCCCTGAAACAGACATACCAGCTGTCACTCAGTGAGGCTCCCTTGCTCAGCTGCTCTGGACTTGACCTGATCTGCTAAGTCTGCTCAATCGATTCCGCTAGACGGATTGGTACAAACTGATTGTACCAAAAGCTGAGTGGTTACCATACAAACCAAAGGCCTTTATGAAAATTTACCCCAGAAATCCAGCAAGATAATTTTGCAGTTTAGTTTTCAGCATTTTTAACATTATTTGTACAGACACTCGTGCATCCCTGTGCATTCCCACCTCTTAACATCAGTGACCGCTGCACGCTGCACACAGACATGGATAATGATCTGAGAACAGGTACAATACCTTGAATCCTTCATCCCCATAAGGTCCAGGGGGTCCCATCTTCCCCTTCTCCCCCTAATAAAAAAAGAGAGGGATAATCACTCGCTTCAGCGAAGAGAGATACAACCTGGGCCTTATAGGCAGCACTAAGAAATACAGTATTTCAACATGCAAGTCTAACAGAATTTGTAAATGGACTATTTGTTCATTAAAGATACGAGGGCTGTTTTATAAGAGTAGGAAGGTGTTAACCCCAGTGTCCTGGCTCAAGCCCAGTCTGGGTTTGGACAATCTGGCCACCAAAAAGCTGCCCCTTAATTCCATCGGGGAAGCAGTTTCTCACTCCTCTGATCCCCCGTTTAGTGGGGCTGCTGTGTCACCCAGGTGGGGCGAAATGTGCTACAGAAATGCAATTGTACATCTATTACAACCACTTAGTGAATTATATATACTGTGATGCATCGCCGGACTCACAGAGTACACTCCATTCATCTGATTATTACCTTCTGCCCTGCTTCACCCCGAACCCCCTTCTCTCCTCTCAGACCAGGTACCCCCTAAGAGAGAGAGGGCGACAGAGAGTAAAATGGAGAAAGAAAGAGATGGAGGTGGAAACACATTGAAAGAGAGCTGCAGAGAGAAAGGGGAAGAGAGAGGTATGTATAGGAAAACTCCCAGCTTATGAGGTGGAAAGATTTTCATTTTCACAAAATTCATTTCACCCTTCTGCCAACCTCCCACGCCCGCACTCTGCTGTCTAGCGCAATGAAGCATTTCAGCATCTCAGCCACCTGGCACTAAAAAGGCTCATGTAATCCTCCCATGTTCCCTGGGCTTTCAAGCATTTCTCTTGTAGTAAAAGTACTGACACCCCACATCAATCACATCTCAATCACATGAGCGTGCTAGACAATAAAGCACAAAGCAAATGAAGGTTTCTAAGAGCAAGGTTCTGCGCCCCTGCGCAGAGCATTATACAAACTTGTCTTTGTGCAAGACCCTGCTTTCTGAATACTTGCTGTAAATCGGAGCAAAACATTACGATTTAAGTTACAACTAAAAAAACCTGCTACATACTGCCAGTGTGGACTGTGCACTGTGATCCAGTTAGGCTGTCCTGCGCCTAAGTATCACACCCTACAAAATCCCATTTAACAGCTGTAATAAACTTATACTGTATATACTGTATGCAAGCTCTCATGTCTTTGGTTTATGCAGGTGGAGGGCAAAAATACTGTAATTCTGTGATGACCGACTGTAGGAAGAAGAAACCAGCATGCTCGACAGCATGCTCAGAAACACCGGTCGATATTTAGGGATTCAGGAGAGCTGAAGTCTCTGTGTGCGACGGAGCTAGTGAAAGGGACCGTTGCTTTTCTCAATGACGACAAAATATTGAAAGGCTGGACTCACGTAGGGCCCCTGTCTTCCTGGTGGACCCTCCAGCCCCATCTCTCCTGTCACCCCCTGAAGAAGGACAGCAAGCAGAAGACAGCGATCAAGGAGCTGAGGATACTACAGACAGTTTCTTCCCACAAGCTGTCAATTACTGAACTCTGCCCCTACCACTGGCTCACGCCGATGTTTTTTTATCGCACTGCTTGTCTGACTTTTTTTAGTTGTATGTTATTTAACTTGTTGTTGCTTCTGCAGTTCTGTGTTGATGTTTCTGGTGATTCCTGTAATGTCTTTGTATTGGAGCACACATGCAAATAAGCATTTCATTGCACTTGTACATATGACAAATTAACTGGACTGAACTAAATGCAGGGACTTGTGGTGCAGTATTTTCTACAGCTTGTGTCACACTAACGACTGAGTAAGCTGAGTCTCAATGCTGACCAGGAGAAGGCACATTCTGCTCTGAATGTGGACTACTTCAGAAAGGATTTGCAATGCCGGCTAATATGGACCTCTGACCTTTTCTCCTTTGGGTCCTCTTGCCCCTCTCAAACCAGCCTTTCCTTTCTTCCCCTGAAAAGGCAGAAACACAGTTTGAAGAAGGACGTACAAACAAGTCACAGGCAAGGAGTGGTGATGCCAATCCTGCCTTCTCAGTCTGGCCGAGGAGAGGGGTTTGTCTTAAACACTCACCGTCCTGCCTGGGGGTCCCGGCTGCCCTGGGTCTCCCTCAGCTCCATCTTCCCCCTGAAAGAGGGGGTGGGACAAAGCAGGTTAGAGAGATTCCCCAGTTGTGCAACAAGGACTGATGAGTCTGAAGAAACCATCAAGGCCACCTGTCAGCTGGAAGCTCTGATACAGCAGTCTGTCACAGCTACAGGCGTAGATGGGTCAAACACTTTGATACTATGTGTATCAGACAGGTGCTCTACTCACATCATGCCCGTTTAATGAATCTATAAAGGTGTACTTGAGGAAGCAGAGATCCCATCTACCTTCTCTCCTTTGCGTCCTTTACTGCCTTCAGGACCTGGGTGTCCAGTGAGCCCCTGGAATTAAAAAAGAAACACGCACCATCCGTCACAGCACAGCAGGCACAGGGAAAGACAGCAGGCACAGGGAGACTCATGCAGTTCAAAAACAGAGATATCAAGACTGCGGGTGAAAAAGCTGACGCTCACATAATGTTCCAATAGGTATTTGCACACTAGTTAGACAGATACGTCCACTTGACTACATGAATCCCAAAGACGGGTGGCTTCAGGATTTCTGTAACATGTGGAGCTCCTAAGGCCGTCACGCAGGATGCGGTTAACTCACATCTGGCCCTGCTGATCCCGGAGGACCCTGACTGCCCATCTCTCCTGGAGGCCCCTGTGGAGCACAGTCGTTTCTATTAAAAGCTTCACACGTTTTACACATGTATATGAAAGTACACAGTTTTAGTTATGATGATGTTTATTATACCTTCCCTCACAAACCTTATTCTTGCAATGTAATGTAGAAAAGCTATTAAATTATATTGGGAGAGCAAATGTTAGTCTTCTGGACTCACAGCTGGATGTTCCTGGGTTTGAATGCCAGGTAAGACACTGCTGTTGTGCCCTTGAGACAGGTGCCAGTGAGCCACTGAGCCAGTAAAATACCCAGCTGTATAAATGAGTGCAAGTGTAATTTGCCTTAGATAAAGTAATCTGATAAGTAAATAGACAGAAACGTATTTACCTGGCCTCACCTAAAGTCTGCACAAAAACTAGTTAGCTGCGTCTCATTTCTGTGTCTCCCAGCTGTGATCCTGGACAACTACAGGGTATTCTGGCTTTCCTTTTACAATGACTCCTGAATTTCTTAAGTTGTAGTTCAGAATTATGATGGGAATACTTTGATTAATCTGATCTGGCTAAGGATAAGTAAAACCTTTGCAGGTCACCACTATAAACCAGAATGTAATGACAGCCTTGGTCGAGCTCCAGCACTGCCCTTCCTCTCGTTATAAGACAGCTGCTTATTTCTGTTGAGGATCGTAGCAATGAGTTCATCAGGGCGCAAGACGGAACTACGCTCCGGATGGGATGGAAATCCGTCACAGGGTGTAAACACAGGGGCACATGGGAACAAGGTGGGAAGGAACTGCAGCACTTGGGGAAAAAACAGTAAACGCAGGAAGGACATGCAAGCTCTAAACAGTCTGGGATCTAAGCATGTATCCACATAAAATTTCATAAAATTATTTAAACAGCATTCATAGCAAGACTTTCAAAATTCATCTTTATCTTAAAGGAGTTAAGCGTGTGATTATGTTTCGGCATTTTAAAACAATTATGCCGACTTCAGGGGTCAGCCCTGCAGGTGTGTTGGCGAGGTGGACTAGTGGCCAGAGTACGCCTGCGTTATGTTTACCTCGAGGCCAGGGAGTGCTGGGGGCCCTCTGATCCCCGGGAGACCCTCCGGACCCTGCAGTCAAACACACACCGAGAGGCTGAGCCGGTCGAACGGTTTGTCTTTCCGGCTCAGGCCTGCGTGGAGAGTGCGACGCCCGGAAGCTCTCACCTGCTCTCCTGGTGCCCCTTTCTCCCCAGGCTCGCCCTTGGGCCCCACAGGGCCCGGGACCCCCTTAGAGCCCGGGACCCCATGGGCTCCCTCTCTGCCCCTTGCGCCCTAGAAGTGAGGACACAGCTAATCAAGCACATACTTCAATGCACAAGTACGGATTTTCACCATGTACAGTATTCAATTCAAATCAGTTTATTTATATATAGCACCTTTCACAACAAGGTTGCCCCACAGTATGTAGAACTAAATTAAGTGTAAGAAGTTTCTGCAATTGCCCTCACGGGATCAATAAAGTATCTAAGAACTAGTGTTTGCTAATCTGTACCTATTGCTTTAAATTTAATCTCTTGGATGGGCTCTTCTTCTGCTAGTAGACTTTAATATGACTGCACATCTCAGACAGGAAAGAATATTTGAAGGTACCTGGCTCAGAACCCGATAATTAAACTACATTTTAAAATAAAAACATTAGAAAGGTAGCCGACGAGAAGTCACGTGGGCCATCCATCCCATTTGGTAGCTGGTAGCTCACTGATCCCAGGATCTCATCCAGCTGTTTCTTGAAAGGAGCTGGGTGTTTCGGCTCCAACAAGGCTGGACTGCTTGTTCTACACCCCCACAACTCTCTGGGTAAAGAGGTGCCTGCTGCTCTCGGTTTTAATGCACTTCCAGTTACCACTTGTGTTCCTCCCCTGCAGTTTTCACTTATGATTTGTTGTTTGTGTTTTACTGGGTGTCACTTTATCAAGGTCTTGCATGATTTAGAGTACTTGCTACAGGTGAAAAACAAGGTTCAGGACACCCCAGGAGAGAGAAAAGGGTTTGGGGTTTCGCACGACTGGGGGGTACTTACCAAAGGGCCTGGTTTCCCTGGGTCACCTTTCTGTCCGTCCTCCCCGGGGTCTCCCTGTGTAGGACCACAGTGCAGGTCAGGTCGGGGCACAGGGTGCAAAAACAACTCACTGTGTGCACTTTCTACAGCCCACCCTATCTCATTTTTAAATGCATTAAAACTGCCGATACATATTCTTGTTTTGTAGTGATATATTAAGAATAAAAAAGGGAGAACACGGATAAAACGAACATGAAAAATAGAAAGGCTTATGCAGTATTATACTGCAAGTCAAACAACGTCCATCACAACTGTACATGTTACCAAGTGTTGTACATGTGTCAAGTCAGCTCTACAAATGCAAGAGTTCAAAGTGTTTTTTTTGTTTTCTTGCACTAGGAAATGGAATGAGCTAATTAATTAATACCTATTAATTAATTACCTAATAATTAATACCTATTTGCAAATGTATATATTTATTTTTTGGTTTGATCATGTTCTATGATACTTAGCCACTGAAATGACAGAGCTGGTACTCTACAAACAGTACCTCAGGACCTGCAACACCAAAATGACCAGCTACTCCTCTGAGCCCAGCTTCTCCCTGCAACGAATCACAGCATACGAATTACACATACACGTACTGCAGCGCCCCCTATCCCTGCAGCCAGCACACTGCACGACACAGGATTGAAAGGATGTATGATTACAAAATTCTCCTTACAAAAAAGACTCCTTCCCTTTTAATAAAACATAGCACCTGTCCATCTGCGATAAGCACTGGGTCGCTGGGAGCCAACCAAAAACAGGATATACCCTGGACCGAATGCCAGTCTATCGTAGCAAAATGAGACATTACAAAAAACTATTGCCAGTCCTTTGACTGCAGGCAAAATACGAGTGGCAGGCAGTACCTAATGCGAGCCCCAGTGACATGCTGGGAGGATACATTTAAAAAGAGCTGAAATCCTTTTGGACTGTCCCAGACCAGGGGGATAACCAGCACCACAGACAGAAGGGATCAGTACAGGGAAGGAAAACAATTCAGCTACAGTACAGATGGGTGAAACAAGAGACATTTAAAGAATACTCCTTTCAAACATTTTATCCCGGCTGGGTATTTCCTCTTCGAAATCAGGAGAGCAGGTACAGCAGGTGTGATTGGTTTTGGATGACCAGTCTGGCTCCTGATTAAAATACCTTCTCTCCTTTCGAACCATCAAGTCCCAGCGGTCCTGGAGAACCTGGTTCACCCTTGAGAGAAAATGGAAAATGTTTGACCCAAGTCCCTTCCAAAAGCCTTTATTATCTTAACAACACTGGTAAACAGAGTACACCTGCATTCAAGAGATCATCACATAAGCTTTTCATTTTCACTTGCAAGAGTCAGATTTGGATCTCCCAGTTTTTATCGCAAAGGAATGAGAAAAGCTGGGTTTCAAAGGGATACCTACTGCCTGTCCTGGGAAGCCAGAAAGACCGGCCACTCCCATCAGCCCCGACTGCCCCTGTGACACAACGAGAGAGGAAGTCAGTCTCCCGCCTGCTGCCTTGTGACAGGATGGAACATAAGAAAGCCAGACGAGAGGAGGCCCTTCAGCTTGTCCAGCTGTTTATTAAAGGGAGCCAGAGTATCATCTTCAATAACAACATGACCTTCCAAAACAATAAAATCAACCGAACACTTTCTTCCACATTACGAAGCACATCTTTGAGACACTACACTTCATTCTGTACCGTCTTATCCTGGTTCCCGGAATTCAAGCTCTGGATCTAAAACTGCTGCTTTCTAATTTCACAAAAGCACATAATGCAGCTTGTCAGCACTGCAATGTGTCCAATGTGCCTGGGGTTCAGCTGAGCTGACACGGCGATGGAAACCCGACACTCACCAGGAGACCTGCATGGCCCTTCTCCCCTTTCTGTCCCCGGTCTCCCACCTGCCCGACGGCACCTGCAGGCCCTGCTTGGCCAGGGGGTCCGAGTGGGCCTACTGCTCCCTGCACACAAGAACCTCTCTTAGCAAGTCTGAATTGTGAGGCACACATCTGCTCCAGTCTGCAGTCCAGCAGGCGCTGCCCGCTCACCTTGTCACCTTTAGGTCCGGGGTCCCCAATGTCTCCGGGGTCACCGACGTCACCCTGCAGAAGAGAAAGGGGGTTGGGAATGCTTGCCACCGCATGGCACCGCTGTGTGTACGCTGGGAGTTGTGCGAGACAAAAGACAGGCGCTTCCTGTTGCTGATAACAAGAGTGCTGAAAGTGTGTGTCAAAAGTCCCTTTTCTTCACATTCGCTTGAAGCCTCCAGGAAATTCTCTTGCATGATCCTTTGTGTTGAAAAGATCAGGCTACACAGGTCTGCATTAAATACTACTCGCTTGTTAACTCCCCATGCAGATCACTGCAGTGACATGTCTGCTGCACAACCTGTACTTATTCACTCGTCCATCACAGTACATCAGTCATCACAGTGACTAGTTAGAAGGAGTGGGAAATCTCACTGCAGTTCCCCCTTAAACAAGGCTCTTGACCTCGAGGAGTAAACCTCCAGTTCCAGGGAAAAACAGGACAATATCAGAATGAAGCCCCCCTCACCTCTTTTCCCATGGGCCCAGGTTCTCCCAGAAGCCCCTTCGTGCCAGGGGGCCCCGGCGCTCCTGGCTCCCCCTCGGGGCCGGCTGGACCGCTGGGGCCAGCGTCTCCCTGCAGGGAACACACAGAGGAGGTCCAGACTTGCACAGCTGCATCGGAACAAACAACATGCAGCCTGACGGCTCGGGCATGTTCCCCCTGCTGAAATACCTGGGTGTTTATAAGATCACTTCATTGGCCATTTACAATTCCTTGTATAAGGAATTTAGAGACTGAATCTGGTCGGTTAACCATTCAACTGATGTACTCAATGGTGATCCGTGTCCATCTAAATTTAGTCTCATTGCGTCACCTGTCTGTAAGAGCCCATTAGCAGATGACTGGAAGTGAGATCTTTAGTGGAGATGAATCACAGAAACAGCTTCATGCATTTGCATCAGGGGGCTTACGAAGTGTCTGACAAACACAAAAGGAAGATGGTAGGGCCAAAATAAGACACAGGTTTGCTGAAAGGTCAAAGTGCTCAGATCTCTGCCATGTGCTCAAAGGCAACCTGATCAGTTGTAATCAATAGTGCGATATTGACCAGCTGTAATCAATAGTGCTGCATGAACTGACCTGCTCACCCTTCACCCCAGCAGGGCCCTCAGCCCCCGTATGTCCTGGGAGACCCTGGAAAGAGGAAAAGGGTAAAAAAAAAAGAAAATCAGCCAAAGGTAACAGCAACACAAAAGGAGGTGGTGTCGGAGAATCAACTTGGTCACCGTTCCCTGTGCTTCAAGCAATTAATCAAATCTGTGGCTCACCCACTGATCACAAATTATAAAATGTGTGTTCCTTGCTTGCCTCCATCTCTCTACCAGCTTGGAAAGTGCCATCAGGCAGTGGGAATTTTAATTGGAGTTTTGCAGATGGCACAACATTCTGCTGTAATCTCAGTAGAAATTAGAAGGCTCTGATGGGAAGGGTGCACTGAAATGCGACTGTTGTCATTTGATTAATGAGATTCAGGCAGACGGACTGTTCTATCCAGAGAGAGAGTGTTCCTTGGATGAGGTCCCGGTGGCTGTCCGAACGGTCCCACAGCGTGGTGCTCAGACAGGAACTGGACAGCACTGACTGGCAGCCGCAGTGTCACCAGCACTCCCTCTTTGGGTCTGGACAAGCTGCTATGCCCCTGCTCACCTGTTCCCCATCCAGTCCAGCAGTGCCTGGGTCACCTGGCAGTCCCATGATGCCCTGGGTAGGAGAACAGAATGCAGGCCGAAAATCAATACCTACATAATTGTCACCATGACATGTGTTTACAATGAATGCCTTACAGAACTGCAATTACACTTTTATATATATATAGTGAATAGTGCTAAAGTAGTAGTTATTTTGCATTGTTCCACTCTGTCAGATTTTTCTTCGTGCAAAACACAGTACCATAGTATCGGGAATTTCAGGCATTTTGTTATAAGGCGATAGTTTATCCCAACAGATCTGTATTTACTACCATAAGATGCAGCCTTTCAAGTTTCTTTAAGTTTGGAGAGGAACAAGGAGCCCGAGGAGTCGATTAGATCTGATCAGTTGATGCGATGGATTCACTGCTTCAGGTCTTAATACTGGCTGCTCATGTGTGGTTTACCTGGAGTTCCTGATGTGAATTCTAGATAAGCTTGGTTTCTTATCCACCTCCTCCTATGCCTACTCCAGTAACTCCTGGTAGCTCCTTGTACAAGAGCTCAGCCTCTGGATGTCCCATTTTGTTGAATTAGAATTTGCAGTACACACTTTTTTTAATGCGACTGTTTTCCATTAAAACTCCAGTGTTCAGAACTAAAAAAAACCCAAAGGCGGCTAGTATATTTTGAAAAATTCACTTTCAAACAAATGTATAAACTGTTTAAAATTAAACAGAATGGAGCACTGGAAGGGGTGAATATACACAGGCATATGACCTGTTCTCTCAAATCAGATTTAGAGGTGATTTCTGTAAGAAGCAGCTCTTCTGGAGCTTGTCAGTGGAATAAGTAGAGGGTCTAGGAGCCCAGTTTTGGAAAGCAAGTCACATCACTTTGACAGCACAGTAACAGCAGTATCTTCCTGCATAAGCTCTTTCTGCAGTTCTAGGAGAAGAGCCAGATCAGGGCACTGCTCCTGACTCGGGAGAGCTCAGTCCACACTCTTCTGTCCAGAGAGCACTGGTCCTCTCCAGCACCCCTCCCCTCTCACCATGTCTCCCTTCTCTCCAGCTGCCCCCTCCGGGCCCCGCGGCCCCTCCTTCCCCTGGAAGACAGAAGGTGAGGGTTTGACTCTGTCTGCTGCGCGTGGAACATGAACAGGGGTGGGCGACAGGGAGTCAGCTGCTTCCGTTATGATGCCGCCTTGCAAAAGCTTTTGATCCAGGTCTTGTCTGATTGTTTTCCAATTCTGGATCTCTTAGTTGTCACGTTGCGAGACGTGTAGTTCTATGCTCAGGTCAAAAGCAAATAATTTAAAGAGTCTTCTATTGCTTGCTAAACCAGGGGTCTACAACGCAAGTTGGGCATGCCTCAATTCAGTAAGTCTTGTAACTGACTCCAAAATCACCTGTTTCTAAAGAAACAATTTAAAGCAAGTAATTTGGTCCCTGTCTTCAGATTTTTGCTCCTAATCTCTGGATTCCTTTAGCCTTAAACCATCTGCTTAATTGATCACAGCTAAATGATCCTAAGACTAAGGGAACTTGAAGATGTAATCGCTGGCTATAATACTTACTACATCATAGCAAGAGAGAAAGACAAAAACAAAAACAAAAGTCATCTAAAATAGCTGAAAAGCCGTGCAGGTGAGACAAAGAGAACAGGATCACTGATATGTACAAAACATGCTGCTGAAGACCTCATTGTGTTCTTCTGCTCAAAAAATGAATCACCAGCACCGCTTCTTCCAAGATGGAAGAGAGGAGACAGGGCAGCTGGCGAAAATGACCCACTCACTGGATATCCGAGGGGGCCTTCGCTCCCCGGTGGCCCCTGAGGACCCTGATCTCCTGGGGGGCCCGGCTTTCCCATCTCACCATCTGGGCCGGGGGGCCCGGGCAGCCCCTGCAACACAGCCACACCACAGGGTCAGCCTTCCGCGCTGCAGACCCAGAACACAGCACTGCAACCCGGCCGGACATCCCCCTCGCTGGCCCCCTCCACCCACGGCAAGCCACGCAGGTCACGGCGCACCGCGGTACAGCGCCGGGACACTACCATGTTTATTTCTCATCAACAAAGACAATTCTGTTCTGTATAAAATATCCTTTTCTTTAGTTAGGATGGTGTGCTGTGTGTTTCTACTTACAGGTACACCCTCGATGCCTTTAGTGCCTGGCTCTCCCCTCATTCCCTGAGGAAATAATCATGCAAACAGGTTAGAACGACAGACAGGAACAATGGGATTCCACACTGTCTAATGGCACTTTAAGGACTTGTAGCTCAATAGCCCACTGTGATTAACTAGGTTTGGTACCTTTTAACATTAAGAACTTTGCTGCACAACTAAATGCATTGGCTGATTTTTGTCTCTTGTCGCCTTTTAGAAAAGCCACATGCTCAGCCTCTGCCTTCACCCTGCCAGTGAGACTCCAGTACAGAAGACTGTGCCGAGCTCACCTGGGGGCCACTGGGTCCTCTCTCCCCAGGAGGTCCAGCAGAACCCTGCAACACAGTGATTTAAACATGAACCGCAGGAAATAACACAGACGTTACTGATGTGCACTAGCAGACAGGCAGGGGTCATTCCAGCCTACCATAAAGACTGAAGAAACCTGCACCGCTCCCAGTCCTTGGACCCACAGAATCACAGAATGAGTCTATCGCCCTGTTAGTCCCAAGACAGCCCACTCCAGACCTGCACCAATCCCACCCCGAATCTGCAGAGCCTGTTCCAAGATAGTGTCCGGCCCAATCCTACGGTGGAATCCTACCATTTCTTCTCTGCTTTCTGTAGACTGGTTTGGTGGTATCAGAAAACCTGCAGTTATTTGGTACCCAGGACCGGAGCTGGAACTGAACTGTTCTCAGCTTTACACATAAGGACACATTCTGCAGCCCTACAACATCACTCCATTACAAAACTTTGCTTCAGCTTTAGCTGGTAATTAGCCGTATCGATAACACAGTAATTAAAGTTCTAGTTGTACTGAAGTACTGCAATGGTGAGTGCATAGGAGACAGACCAGCATCGATCAGCACACTCCTGGCCCCAGAACACCTCACATTGACTCTCAGTTACGTGCTGCATCATGCTGGGTTTAGCTCTACAACCTCTTCCTCTGTATGAATGCACGTTTGTCATGATAAGCAATCTCTGCTGTTTCGTCTGGATATGTGGGTCAAGTGCAGCTCTGGGAATCCTGGTCTCTCAGGTGCTCCAAGCATGTGCAGCACTGCTCCCTAGATCAACACTGCTCCTCCACCACAGGGGGATTCAACACAACCCCTGCTGGGATTCAGTCACAGTTGCTTTTGTGCCTTGAGCCACACAGCACTGCTCCCTAGACAGCGGAGAACTCTGCTGCAGCTCTGTTCTGTCCTGTCAAGGCTTCGAGGTAGGCGACAACACTTCTGTGACACACATGCAGTGTAATGGAAGCAATCCTGCTGTGCAGGTGTCGGAATACTTACTGGGGTCCCCTTCTTTCCTGGGGGCCCAGAGGGACCTCGAACACCGGGCTCCCCCTGAAAGAAAAAGACATTCACGTCAATGTCCATGCACTTGCTGGCACATGGGTCTTGCTCTACCAATACATGGCACACTCAAATAACTTCACACAATACAGCCTGCAAAGAAATAGCACATGAAAATAAATCTCCACGTTTATGTAAAATAAACTACAAAACATGAAGATTCATCATCACTTCTATCACTCTGCTCTCCTCCCCACTGTTAGCTGGTGTGTGGGGAGCGGACTGTGTGCAATGGCTGCCGTCGCCTCCAGGTGGGGCTGCACATTGGTGGTGGCAGTGGGATCCCCATTACCTGTAAAGCGCTTTGAGTGGAGTGTTTTGTCCAAGTTCTTTATATTGAATGGGTCCTTGAATTGCCTTGTAATAATAATATGTAGTAAATTTAGCTCATCACAATGCTCTAGATAGGAAGAGCAGTAGGAATTACAATGCAAGTTCAATCATCAGGTACAGAGGGTCCTACCCTTTCCCCCATGTGGCCAGGTCTTCCCCGATCACCCACTGGGCCAGGGTAGCCCTGCAGACAAGAAACAGACACTGAGGAACAGGAGACAGACAGGCAGATCCTGGGACAGAGATGGGCACACACTGGCGACTGCAATTCCACAAAATCACACCAACGCATTTTTTTATTTCACTGGAGCTCAAGAAGAGTGTTCAGTGTTAGGATCTTTGGACAATGCAAATATCACACACTCTGAAGTACTGACGATAACGAGGTTCATAGATTTACTTCACAGCACTCCAGGAAAGGACTGTCACTCCGCGCGCCACTCCTCAGGGATCCGGTCCGTGCTCTCGGGAACATCTGACTTTCCGCCCTCACAACCCCCCCCCCAGCCTCTCATGTCAGACGGGCCAATACAACCTTTTACCCCATGAGCACCTGGACAGGCAGCACTTACATACATGCCTACTGGGCCCTGCGGTCCCTCCACGCCTGGCTTTCCAGTGAAACCCTGGGGGACAAGAAGGAGACCGTAAGACACCCAGGCCCAGCGAAGCCATACTGCCCCCAGCGCGCTGCTCCGATTAATCCCCGGACAGCACAGTCCCCATCACAGCTCATGAGCCTTATCACTTTACTTTTCCTAAAAAAAAAGAATATTTATTTTTAATAACGTAATCGATCTCAATATTTTTCAGTCATCGGTGTAACACTGGATTCTGGATTGTTTCTATGCCAGAATGCCTCGTCTTCACCACAGGGCTTCACAGATCACCCCTCCTTCCCCTCCCCTCCCCACCCCGTTCTCTCTCACCCTCTCGCCCAGAGGCCCAGGGCTCCCATCCTGTCCGGGCCGGCCTGGGGGACCCTGTGGGAACGCAGAGTGAGGTCAGTTCGTCTTGGGTGGGGGGGGGGCAGGGGCAGTTTAATCATTTAACACAGGTGTGGTGAATCCCCCTCCTGAGCTCAACAGAATCAACAGTGTTAACAGGATCAACAGCATCAACAGGATCAACAATCTTAACAGGATCCAATAGCCTTAACAGAGTCCACAATGTTAACAGGAAGCAACAGTGTTAGCAGGATCAACGCAATTGACAGTATTAACAGGATTCAGGTGATCTGTGCTTGAGGATAAGTTCAAGCTGTGTAGCATCATTTCAGGGAATCGAGCACAATCTTCTTAGGACACACCCTGATATACAGTATTCTACAGTACAGTACTCTCTAGGCACTGTGGTGAACCTGTGTTTTTGCTCCATAGCAGCTGAACAGCGTTTCTGAAAAGGTCAGAAGTGTCAGATCAATTCTTAGATGTAATGTATTTAGTTTATTTGACGAAGCTGCGCTCCACTGCATCAGGTGTGTCCGGTGCAGGCTGCTCTGGGGGGGGGTTTACATACCGGAGATCCTGGGGGACCCCCCTGTCCCGGCTCTCCCCTCAGACCCCCCATCCCCTGCAGAGACAGAGAGTCTTACATCAGTGAGCAGCATTCACAGCTGGCACATTGGCTTCTCGGCATGCTGTGTCCGAGTCCATCACCAGCACACTGTACTGAAGAAAGGGCTATTATACTGGATTGGAGATGCACTGAAAGTCTGTGCTAGGCACGGTCCAGAGAATTATCAGGGCGCTGCAAACAGAGAATAAACCTTTCAAGCTTTTTAACCTTTCATTCAAATCAATCCCAGTTTTTTCCAGCACACCTCACACCTGAAGAAGTCTCCACTGCCGAAACGTTGTGTTTTCTTTCTTCTTTTTTTCAGCATGGAATAAACCTATTACTTGTACTTTATATTTATGTCAACTTGTTACCAAAGAGACAGAGCGTGCGATGAAACAGCTCCAAGCTCTCTCTCAGGACAACAAGAACTGTCCATGTGTTCAGAGCTCATGGTCTGTCCTCACTTCCATCAGCTCTGAAATTCTTCTGCCTGTATAAACGGCAACTCATTACTCTCCTTCAGAGGCCTGTAATCCCCGATTCTACAGCAGCACCACCTGTGCAGCTCATAAGCAGTCACAGGCATCACAACTGTCATCAAGGCCAACAATCAAGTGTAACGAGTGACAGGCAGGAATGCTAATGAAGTTCTAAAAGTTTAAAAAAGAATACTAAATCAATAAAAAGACTAACGCGTTTGTAGGATGCATAAAATCAAACCCAAATCACCATAAATAATGACAAAACGGATTATCAATATTATAGCCTCTAGTAATACGTTTTTTTCTGCATTTCTTATTCCCCCATTAGCACTGTAACACTCTTCATAAGATCCTTTGAAAACTGTTTTCCAAGGAAAGAGGGAAACCGAAGCTGGAAGAAAGGACCACACTCACTCGATCCCCTTCAGTGCCGGGACTCCCAGGGGCACCCGCTGCTCCCTGGCACAGGAGAAAAAACACCAGTCAACACAGCTAGGCACATGACCGCACCTTTCTCCACAGAAAACATCATTTTTAGGACCGTTATGAACAGAGGACGCTTATAACAACGCTTAAGACATTTGCTGCAGTAACGATGGTGACACAGGTTGAGGAAACTTTGCTTTAGACAGCCAGATGCAATGTGCTGCTCGTCAAGACTCCTATCTGCAATCGATCGCTGCACAGAGAACCCCTCCCCTCACAGGAAGTGGAATAGCCATCTAATAAAACTGTAATAAAAGAGTGGGGCGTGTGCTCTTCCTCCTGACACCAGCCAGCGCATTACAGGTGGACGTGCCAGTGCAGGCTGACACACGCCACCTGCTGGACTGCCTCAGAACAGCACTGGTAGCCTGCCTGCAGGTGCTGAGCGATGACAGCCTCCTTTAGCACCAAAGCGTCTGTGAAGGGCAATAATGGAGCACATTAGCTATTCCAGGAACACATTACTCAAGATCCCTTTATGCAGCACGAGCACGATCTCTTTATGAAGCCCGAGACAGACACTCAGCTGGGTTTCACACGGGGTTCAGCTGTCGGGCCTCTGTGGCATTCTGCTCCATCACGGCAGCTCTCAACTCCTTCAAGTTAAAAGCTAATACTGGCTAAAATGACAAAGCACCAGAATGGTAGACCACAAGCTGTGGCAAGAACAATCACACACGTACTGCACAAATGTTGATAACAATACACCACCTTGTGGCGCCAGAGAGCTGCACAGAATTTCTCTTTCATCTTGTCGCCCACTCTCATCTGCCCCAGTACCCAGTACCCTTCTCCCCCGGGAACCCACCTGCCCTGGGCTCTGCTGCATTCCTGCCCCAGCAGCCTGTCTTTGTGCCCCCCTACCCCAGTCCACCCCCGCCAGGAAAGCTCTCACCCCGCTGCTGCTGGAGCCCTCCCTGCTGCCCATGAGCAGAGAGCACGCGAAGCACGGTCAGAAACAGTAATCATGGGATTAAAAGGTATAGAATGGGAACCTGTGTACCAGGCTTTCCTTCTGGTCCCTCTGTGCCAGGCTGTCCTCGCAGCCCCTACAACGAGACAGACACAGACACACACACACGCAGCCAGACAGACACACACACACACACACAGGGAGATGACGTCAGAAAGAGCAATCGAGGGACTGGCGCATCGCTTCATGGGTATGAAGGCCAGCTGTGTGGCTCGAAAAGGAACCTGAGGCTGACCTATAGATGAAGTGCTTCCCTGCAGGGAGGCACCGTGGAGAGCAGAGCTAACAGACAAGAGACTAACACATCTACACCTCTGAGCTGCCTTTCACGAAAATGTCCGGCAGTTCCTCCTCTCAATACAAATCGAATGCCCCTATTAACAATGTTACATTATAACATATTAATTCTTATGTAAAAAAAATCACAAACAGAGGAGGACATCCAAACCACCTCTTTCATTTCATATTAAAGACGACTGATCCAAAGAGCTCATCCATAAGAGTGTTAACTACATTCAAGACTGATTATTGAGTATAAAAATATATATTCCAGTCTTCCGACAGCAGAGACTATTTTTTAAATTGATGTTCTTGGATCTTTGTTTCCCTTTTCTCGGGGTCTGTTCGATTTGTAAGCGTGGTCATGTGGAAGGTTTTGCTGAAGCTCAGGCCCACAGACAGTGTTATTCCCAGCTTGTTCTGCCCCTTACCGGCATTCCTGACACACCGACCAGACCACGCTGTCCTACGCGCCCCTGGAAAGACACACAGTTTAGGAGAAGAGGGACTGAAAGATTTCTATTCCTATAACTTGCAAGGTGTCAAAAAAATAGAATTGGGGTCCACCCACGCTCATCCTGGGTCCCTGGGAAGGGTTGTCAGACCCTCTAAGAGCACTAAATTATCAGCTTCCAAACAGGAGCAGCAGTTAAGAGTTCTGTCCTTGAAGCTGGAAGGTCCCGTGTTTGAGACACTCAAGCAATGTGTCTCCTCAGTACTGATCCAGTAAAACCTGGTACAAATTTAAGTTGCTTTGGATAAAGGCAACAACAATAACCCCGTAGTTCTGAACGGTGGGCTGCTGTCCGGGCTTTACAGGTAACTTACAGTCCTCAATGAGTAAAAACCTGCAAACAGTAGTGATGCAGACAAATTAAGTGAACAACTGATTCAAACTGGGTGACTACATCTCCAGGGTGGAATTAACAAACAATGTAGTTCATCAATCAACCATAACTAATTATGCTATTAATTTTAAGATATTAGAAGCTTAAGTGCCAATCAACAGGCCTGCTATCAGAGCAGGCTCATTGCATGATGATGCTTCTGATGTTTCCACACTTACAGACTGCAGAGGACAGTTTCCCATTGTTTTTGGGGACCACCTGGACACTATCTGATGACCCTTCTGCTCTAAGGGAAGCTGGGATTGATTTTAGGGTCGCTGCAGAGAAATGCTGTTGTGTTGGGCTTTAGGTTGGCTGTCTGGCTGGGGGACGGGGGGTGGCCAGGCTCACGTGCAGATTGTCAATACTGATCACAGCAGTTACCCTGGGCCCTTTGGGTCCTGGCCTGCCCTTCGGACCATCTGGCCCTCTGTTCCCCTGAAAACACAAAGACATATTTCCCGCTCATGGCTCAGCCCATACTGCTCAAAACACATCCAATTCACCGCCGCTCTGTCTCTCAACAAAGGAAACTGCGTGGCTTTGTATAGAGGACACTAGATAACAAGAACTGGAGTTCAGTCCAAAGGCTGAAAAATTACTTCTAAGGCAGCATATAAGTCTTGGTAAGCATGCTCTTAATGTTCACCCTATACTGGCAGGCAAAGAGTGCAACACACAACAACAGTTGTACACAGTCTGAGTACAGTCAGGACAAGTGCCCTCTCTGACCTTTGACCCTCCACTGCCAGCCTGACCCTGGGGTCCAGTTTCTCCATCTTCACCCTGTAAGGCAAGAACAACAATCCCACATCTTTACTCTGATAGAGAGGAACCAGGCATGATTTTCCTGGTCAATAAGCTGGCTCTGGTCCACATTCGTTCCGATGCCATGGAGAGGGAACTTGGTCCACAATGTGGAAAAGGTATATGATCCTATTTTAAAGAAGAGCTGGAGCAACACTAACTTAAACCTCAGCTGAGCTGCTTAAGGGGCTGGCATTCTCTGGGTGTGCTCCTTGTCAAACGAAAATGTTTATACGCCAAAGACTCTGAAGAGCTCCTCGTGCAGAAGGGAGCCCCCTTCGGCCACCAGTGTCGGGTGATGCTCTCAACTATTCTGGAGCAGCTGCCTCACAGCATGCAAGGTCAGGGGAAGGAGAGCAATACTGCTGCACCCTTTGAATTAAGGAGGAACTTCAGGGAGGCCAGATTGTTCAGGCCCAGAAAGGAATTTGACCAGGATACTGGGGTTAAAACTAAAATTCCTTGGGTACTGTTTGCGAGAATAATGACTAGTCAGACCTCAGTTTAACACCTGAGGTACCTGCTACAGCACCATGTCCCCAGTCACCACACTGGGGTGCTGGTTTATAAATCTGTGCTCAGAGGAAGGAGCGCCACCTGCTGGTCCACCGACACCGCTTATTGCAGAAGTTGTTTTAGAAGCCTCTCATCCAAATACCAACCTGGGCCCAGCCTGGCTGACCTATGGAGGTTGGACGAGTTCAGACTACAAAGTTGGTGTCAAGAGACTCTGTGCCGCTGCACCTGATGAAAATGGACATGGAATAAAATTCGGAAACGTACCTGAATGCCCTGGGTGCCTAGCTGACCTTTTGGCCCAGGGAATCCTGGGAAGCCACTCTGACCACTGACCCCAAGAGGACCTTTGACCCCAGGAGGACCCATTGGCCCCTGCAGAGGGAGAGGAAGAGGTGTAGTGCTGTGAAAAGGCTTCTGGGCAGCAAGTCTGAGCCTTGATATTAAATCAAGTCAGGTCATTATGTAGATGAGAATGTTATGGTAATCAGAAAACTGGACTCACTCGCTCTCCTGTTGGCCCGGCATCACCTTTGTCTCCATCTGGGGCTCTGCTCCCCTGTGAAAACAGCACCACGTGGGCACCAGTAAAGCTTCGGATGATACAGTATAGGATCATTTCACACACCCCATAACAGTGTGGAAATTGGCAGGACAGAATGGAGGTGTCCACACTGTCCGACATGCTGCTTCCCCGTGCATGGACCCAACCAAAATTAAAGGAGTAAAACTGTGTAGGTCTTACTCTGCTACCTGGCATCCCCTTCGGACCCGGAGAACCAATTTCACCCTGAGAGAGAGAGAGAGAGAAACAGACAAACGGGGAGGACGCTTAGTTTAACACTGCTAAGGCAGCCCTTCAGTAAGAGCCACAGCCCGGTGGCCCCGTGTGCAATCAGATATTTCAACACGGCTCCCGGTTTTTTGTGTTTCAAGGACAGTCTTTATCCCAGATGCTCCTCAGGAGAGACTTCAACCCAGTTCTGGTCATTTCCCCTCCTCTTCCTGAGGCCGAATGCCCAAGAGTCACCTCTGGCCCTGGCTCCGCGTCTCCAGGTTGGGGACCGAGCCGCTGCCGGGTAAGGTGGTGTTTTAGCAGCTTTACATCCCTCCCGGGCAACGCAAGCCTCTTCGAGCCTCCCCAGACAATGTGTGACGTCTCTGCAGGGTCAGGAGCGATCCATTCCCTCTGCTGTGCAAACACAGCAGTGCCCGAACCAATGTTCCCTCTAACGTCTAATGGCCCTTGCGTGCAAAAATTTCAAGTTGTGCAAATTTTTCCCCCAGTGACAAAAACTTGTGCGCACTAAACTGAGTGTACGTAAAATTGTAAACCTGAAATTATTTTTTGGTAATATAGTCATTCTGATGATCCAAACGACTGGGACAGCGATTCAACGTGCCCAGTCACAGAGGCAGAGTGTTGAGTGAACATGAGCAGGAAGGTATGATCAGTCTCAAATTGTTTCCAGACGGCCGCAGTGAGGTAGCCCCCTTTAAACCAGTGAGACCCCCGATCCCCTCCACCCTCAACCCCAGCCCCCCACCCGCCTGCATCTGAAAAACATGGATCTTCAAAGGCAACACATCACTCTCATACCTGCTGGGTCATCAAAGCACGGGCCGAAACAACCCAAATTAAGTGATGGAAGAGCTCTAAAACATGCTGTTCTGCACAGGATGGTTACAATTTCAAGGGACTGGCCTTTTAAAAAAACCCAACAACTTAACAGCTGGGAGAGTCAGACTGGAACGTGGCCCAGATTATTTCCAAAACAAAACCACATGGGCCTATTTTTAAAACGGATTTACTACTTTATGGAAATGGAGCTTTAGGTTTTTGGAAGCTATATGAAAACCCGTAAACCAAACTAATAACGGGCCTGTTTTTATTCCAGTGAGCTCTTCTTATTCATCGAATCAGCACAGCAGACTGACAGAAAACTGAATAAATCAATAACTAGGCAAAACTACAGTAAGTGTGGCCCATACGCAAAGATTTAACCTTCTGTCAATAAAAAGAGTTTTAGATAAGCCAGTCACAGCAGCAGTGATACTGTAATTTAATCCTAATTGTTGTTTTTCCTAATGCCTTTAGCCAGGTGACATCCAAGAGATACAATTACCAAAGTGTTTGGAAGAAAGGGTTTCGTTACCATGACCTGCAGGAAGTTACATTCTGGAACATCAGGGAGGTTAGCTTACACAAGGCAGTCAAGACCTGTAACCCAGCACTGGTGAAGTGCAATAACTTGTGCACAAAAATACAAAACACAAGCATTTCTAATATAGTGTTACACTACAGCAGTAACTGCCAGTCAGAACAGCAGTGGGCTGTGGGTTTACTTCACTGGGAGTAGTGTAGCAAGATCACAGGGGTTTGTGTACGCACCATCGGACCCTCGAACCCGTGCTCTCCTCTGGCTCCCATAGGCCCTTCTGTCCCCTGGAACATAAAATAATTTAAAAAATGAGCCTTCCGTCGTCCACAACAAATTCATTCCTGCAGTTTAATTTCTCCTTTCCAGGGCTGGCTTGGAAATACGACTACTTGTGACTAAATAATAACAATTCCTGAACAATGATGTTCCTAGTCCATGAGCGCCTGCTACTCTGTGCCGCAGGTTGACATAGCTCTTGGGCTGCAGTGTCAGAACTTACCATGTGCCCCTTGGGGCCTGGAGATCCCTCTTTCCCTGGCTGGCCCTGGTGAAAAAGAAAGGAGAGTGCAATGGGACTGGTATGTGAGGTGTGTCCAGAAGACACTTTCCCATTTATTCCAACTAGAAAATCAACTAGAAACAAAATGTGGACACCAGAGGGTGCTAGAGAACACACTCAGTACATGTAAACACCCCACATGAAGATCTGGGGTCTTCAGCCCTGGTCCTGTAGAGCCCCATTTTTACAGGTAAACACACTCTTCCTAAAGACTAGGAACACGTGCATTGTAGGCAGATTTAGTGACTAATCTGTTTAATTAAGAGAACTCCGAACCTTCAGCGCAGATGTGTATTTCAGGTGAGAGATCTCTCGAGCTGACTTTCTAGGTGAGCAACTCACTCAGCTCTCTCTAAAGGATCCCAGACGCCACTAGAAATTCAGATTTATTTTCAACTCCAGTATTGATTTACCAAGCAATATGGTTTTTGCCTCCTGTATTTTTCAATCCATTCCAAGAGCTCTGTCCTTTTCATGGCTAAACTAGATGTTCAAAGGATTTTTAATTAACTGTGCTAGATAATTAGTGTTTATTTCAGGGTTATTTTTTTCTCACATGATGCCCCTTTCAACCTGAACTTGGCTGTATTTCACATTAAACTAATTACCAAACATGGGCCAAGCTGTTTTTCACTGAACCCCTCAGCCAATAAGAGTTCTGCCTCACCAATCCCTCAAGCACAGTTTGCAGGTGATGGCGATTTGATCCCAGAGCCCTTTAATCCTTTCATCCCGCAGTTTTCCAGCTGTTTCACCTGTACATAGCTGCACGTTTATTTTCACCAGCTGTAGAACAAGGCGTCCCAACCTTTTTGTTTTTTTGTCGGGTTGTTAGAAGTTAATTGATCCCAGGTTCTCACCCAGCTGCTTCTTGAAAGAAACCAGGGTAGCAGCTTCAGCAACAAGGCTGGGTAGCTCGTTCCAGACTCCCACAAACCTCTGGGTGAAGAAGTGTCTCCTCTTCTCAGTTTTAAATGCACATCCCTATAGTTTTCGCTCATGGCTCCTGGTTTGTGTTTCACAGTTCATTTTGAAGAAATATGCTGGGGTGCTGGCGAACTGGCCAAGGTGAGGCGAATGAGAACTATCGACTTACATGAGGGAACTAGATCGGAACCGATCAGTCGGGTTTGTCCTGGTGGCACTAAGACCCTATAACCCAGACCTGATCCCTACAGGCATGAAATGCAATAAAGATAAGGGCAAATAGCATGAGTGATGAATCTAACAACATAAAATACACATAACTTAGTGAGACTGTTCTCAGGAGAACAGATAAATGAAAACAGGAAAGTCACACAATACTAGGAGCAAGACCTGGGAAAGCCATTTGCCGTTTTTCCATTACAGCTACTGTCGTTTAACAACGGATGCATCTTCTGTGCAGCCTTCATGAGAGGCACTGGAGGCGCCTCTGCACAGAAAGCAGATACAGTGTGGCCTATAGGCATGGGAGCATTCCCATCTCCCACGATCCAGCCCGCCAGTCGACAACCTGGTCTCTCAAAGGACCTCATGCCTCTTGCTTAAGCGCAATCACACGAAGCCTAAATACTGCGCACTCCCAATGGGCGAGAATCTTCCTCACGTGTCCCAATTTTCAGCAGAGATTCGTCCTCTCTCAGTCTGTGGCCTGAACAGGCGCAGAGGAATGGAAAGACAACAGAACAGGCTATTTAAACCCGACGCCGAGACGCAACACGGTGGGCCGCTTACCAGGGGAGCTGAGTATCACAAGACTGGAGGGACTCACCTGCTGTCCCCGTCGCCCAGGAGAGCCCCTCACTCCCTGTAACCCCGGCGGCCCCTAAAAAGGGAAAAAGCAAAGTAGCAGTTTTGATTCGAGGCCGCAGCCACAGAGATGGTCCAGGCCGGCCTCGGGCAGCCGCATCCCGTGAGCTTCCGATAGGCGGCTCCCCTGAGCTCTGCGGCCCAGAACACATCGAGAAAAGGTGAAGAGGCTACATTTCCAAAGGGGACTGGAAAAATTTTACTGGACTCTCCTACCTGAGGGCCTCTGGGGCCAGGAGGACCTGCAGGGCCAGAATCTCCCTGTAAGAAGCAGAAAACGTTTAACTTCGAAAGACACAAGTTCCAACTCCAAAAAAAATCAGAGTACAGTGCTTGAGCTGCTGTGCGAAGCTCTCATCGGGTTTAAAATCACTGCAGCGGGGATGGATGGACTGGCCTGTTTTACTTCCAAGCTAGACTGATGCTCTCATTCCTGCAATGAAAATACAAAAAGCTCCCCCCCCCCAGTGCAGAATAAGGATCCTCTCTCACAGTGCAGCTTCCACCTCAAGAACAGCTTTTACAGGAGGGGGAGCACATTTCCTGCACGTTTTGGACATATCTGCGCCCAAATCCAGTCTCATTTTTCCAGCAGGATGTCCTCACTCGTGACCGTGATGAAGGTGATGGCGTATGTGGGACTGAGCAGCATCTACCTCTGGTATTCAATACGATCGGGATTATTCTGAACCAGGACGGTCAAGGAAATCTGCATAAAACGATTAGCCCATGTCCCGCCCGACACCGAGAGCACCTTGTAATTTTACTGGGGGTTCCTTATATTTTGGACAGAAGGGGTTGGGCAGCGCGTCACTGACGCCACAGCGCTCGCTCACCTGCGACCCGTTAATCCCCTGGGCGCCGACCGCTCCTGTAGGCCCGGTGTCTCCCTGTCGACAGACACACACAGTCAGCACTGCGAACACACCCCATCTCCTCGGGCCTCACCGCCGATGCTCCTTTTACAGAGAAGGACGAGGAGGCCAGCAGCCCCAGTCTCCTCCCACCCCTCACTCCCAGCTCCAGGCAGAACCCCAGCATGTGGGTCAACGCAGGACATAAAAACGTGCGAGGTGCCACCGGAGCCAGAAAGAAGGTCCAAGTTCCCTGGGAGGCCCTTTGAATTCTGAACTGTCACACTTACTGCAGCGCCAGGAGGCCCAGCTCTTCCCAGCGGCCCGATCTCCCCCTGGAAGACAAGACACCGGCGTCAGTCCGCCGGGCTTCACCAGGCGGGCAGAGTCGCCGCTGGACTGAGCTCTCGCTCACCCGCGGGGGCAGGTGCCCGAAGCGCGGGTCATCGGGTCACGCGGATTGGTTTTTACCGCCCCCCGATTAGAGGAGTGAACTGGCAACGGCGCTCACAGGCCGAGAAGCACGAAAACCGGGCCCCAGCAGCAGTTTTGATTTTTCTCACAGACCGCTTAGATGTCTTGAGAGATGCAACGAAGGGCAGAACTGCCTTTGCGTCCAGCGCCGCCACCACTGCGCTCCAGCTACGCTGTGCTGCTAGTAATAAACGCACAGAGGCCACTAGATCAAAATGCGAGGTCCTGAACGTGCTTATTGAAAAGCTGAAGTCCTGTGAAGCTGAAATCTCAAAAACATGACTGCTTGGCGTACTGGACCCTCCTGGCCCCCTGTGTGTGTGCTGTATGAGGCCTGGCTCTCACCTCTGTAAAAGACAATCTGAGGAACGGGACTGTTACTCACAGGTGGTCCCCGAGGCCCTTGCAGTCCTGCGGACCCTCGGCTGCCCTGCTGGCCCTGGGGAGAACAGACACACGGACAGCGTTACCAGCCTGAGGGGGTGGGACAGCTCTTTCAAGGGGACACACAGGAGGGGCTGTGGTGTCTGGGGGGGTTTTGAAATCAGGATGATTTCAGGAGGACCCAAGGGCAGACTAACTCCATTTGTGCACGAAAGGTTGATTCATCTGCTTGTTAACGTCCTCTGGGGATAAACTTTCCAGGCGTCAGAAATGACCCGTATCGCATGACTCTGAAGACAAGGCCCCTTCCTGATTTTGTTTTTTGTCAGTGGAGAACATGAGCACAGAGCCATCGGGCCCAGTCCGCCTGGGTGCTGCTCTTGCCGTGACCACGGCAAGAGGGAAGCAAAGGTACGCATGCAGATTGCTTTGAGGTTCCAGCGCTTTTTATGTCACAGCTCACTCAGAAGCGGGAAGCAGACATCTTCCGGGAGGCAAGTGCAGGTTTATCTGTGTAGAAATATCAAATCTGACAAATCAAGCAGCAGGGCTTTGCCGCTCTGCTCCGCTGTGGGGGGGGGGTTCTGTATCCGTCTCCTCCAGCCCCGTCGTCCTGCCCTGCAGTGGCAGCACAGCAAGAGGGGCCGGAGTGAGACGGGCAGGCGGAGACAGGAAGAGTGTCACTCACAGGCGCCCCCACAGGACCCGGCGGGCCGATCTCCCCCTTCGAGCCCTGGAACGAGACACGGAAACAAAGCTCATTCCTCCCGGAAATCCAGCGACGGCTTTCACAGTGACCCCAGGAGCACCCCAGGGGGAAACATCATGTAAAAAAATACTAGAATTAGTAGCAAGGTTAAAATTCTTCAGCTGTTTGCTTTCACGCGGTGACATGAGGTTTATCCAGTGCCGGCCCTATGGGTGATTTTTCCCCTGTAGTACAGCCTTCTGAACAACAGAGGGCAACACGGTTACAGAGTTGCATTAACTGTAGCGAAACGGCATATTCCCTTAACTTCTTTCCCTGTAAGAAAACCGCTCTCAGGATCAGACAATTTGCACGGTTTACACACTGGTGCTGTGAATTTACATCGTTTACAGCAGCATTGTTTATAGTGACTTATCCTATGTGAAGATTTCGGCTGAACAGCTTTATACTGTCCCAGTTTGTTGTCTGTGAGCTTTTGTCTTTAGAATGGCACTATATACCTCCAATCATTACAGAAACACCTGAATTACCTTCTCTCCTTCCTTCCCTCCGTCTCCAGCAGGACCCACTTGGCCAACGAAACCCTTTAATCAGATAAAAAAAAATATGAAAAACTTAATAGTTGAACTGCAACTTTCAGTACAAATTAGTTTAAGACATTTATGGATAAAATTCATTAATCAATAGTTTGAGCCCTCATCAGCAGATAACAACCACTACCAGTGACATGTACTGAATATTGTTTAGAATAATATTGCACAGTAATTCTGAGCCAATTATTTGAAATGTCATATTAAGTTAAAGAGCTGAAATGGTTTTATATTATAATTCATTATACAATTAGCACTAAAGATACTGGATAAAAATGTTTTACTTTTTTTACTTTTATATTAATATGACGCAAGCAACTTTCATGTAAAGTCGAAGTAAATACCATCTTCAAGGACTACTACAGACAGATCTGTTGTGTGCAGTTCTATGGTATAAACCAAGCATTATCAGGCTCTGTTAAGACTGTACAGATGTTCCGAACAACGAGACAAACCACAGCTGGGGATGTGCGCTTAAAGTGCTGGTTTCATTGTAAAAAGGTCCTTCCTTGTGCCAACTGGGTAACATGGACCCCTGTGAAGAGGAGGGCCAGAGGAAGACACAGCTGCAGGATCTCAGTCTGCTGGTGATATTCAGACAAGATGAGAACCGCAGGTGTGCCTCCGCGCCGCTCGCTCCTCCTTCTGTGCTCCGGGTTTCAGGAAGATCGTCTGTACGTGTGGAAGGATGTCCTGTGCTTTGTCTCCTGGGACTGACCAGCCCACAGGAGCCATTTATGATGAGGCACTACCTTTGATGGTAGACTGCGACACAGGATCTTGTTTTAGCGGAAACATGTAGTTTACTGTATATGCTTCAGTCTTCGGCTTTACAGCTGTTGAGCTTTAAGCAAGAGTTTCCCTTGCTGAAGCACCTTCCATGTGCAGATCCGTGCTGTACCTAAGGGACTGGAGCTCCCAGCAGTGACAGCAAATCTAGTCTACAGCTGATCTCCTGGAACAGCCGCCACGCAGGAAGCAAGCCTGCGCCAGGGAAAGCCGTTCTTATAGAGAGGCTTAATATCCGAGTGCTAAACCCCTGCTCCTGCTGAACAAATTACCACAGGTGAACTCGCTGCTCAGATGAGACCTGCTTGTTTATTCTCCCCTGATGTCTACAAGGCGGCTAGTTTGATTTAGTAGTTTTTTCGTTAAGAAAATGGCCACGCAATTTGGAGCACGCTACAGGAAACCGAGAGCCAGCGAACTCCACTGACCACCAGCTGGGGGAGAAGCACGTCTCTCTGGCCAGCGGCACTGCAGGCGCTCAGCTGGATGGACTCAAAAAGCCCTGGCCGAATCGCACACCGAAGAACCCTAACAGGCAAGGCTGCTGCTCTTGGGGAGTGACATTGGCAGTCAGGTTTGACACGACCGGAGCACAGAAGGGATTTTGACATTTGGGTCAGTTACACCACGCACTGGCCGACATGGCCCGACTCTGGGCTCAAGAAGGGCTTCCACAGCCAAGCCTGAGTTCTGATGTCCTTCCGAGAAGCAGAACACCTGCCATCGCACCTGCCTGAGACGCACCAGGCGAGAAAAACTGCGTCCCATTTCCCCGCCCTACTTACATCATCCCCCTTCTCTCCTTTGGGCCCGTTTTCTCCTTTGTAACCCTGAGGCCCCTGACAAACAAACCACAAAACAAAGAAGATTGTTATCAGAAATAACGGATACATCCGTCGTGCTTCCTGCAGTATAACATTCCTAGACAGCTTGACGATGGTGCCTGGTCTTTGTCCTCACCTTGTGGCACATGTGGAGATCAAACTCCCTCTCCTGTTTGGCTTAGCAGACCATGTCCACTGCTTTGAATTTTTAATTCAAAATCTCCAGTCCCCAGTCTCTGCCGCTACACAGAGCTGCCTGGCCAGATGTCCTGTCTGACAGGCTCGGCACAGATGTTCAGGAATTTGCTCACAAAGACACAAAGTCGGTGACTGAGCCTGGGTGTGAACTGGGAATGTTCTAACATTTTCCACCAGGACTGCCTCAGGTTAGGGAGGAAAAACGAAGGCCCTGGATGACTGAGTGACAATTTGGCGCCGGAGGCCTGAAATCTTAGTGGCGGCCTCGGGCCTCACCTGCGGGCCGGGTCTCCCCTGCGGGCCCGCATGTCCGTCGATCCCGTGAACGCCGTCTGACCCCCGGCAACCGGCCCGGCCGGACACTCCCTTCGGACCCGGGTCACCCTGAGAGGAGGAGGAGGAGCAGATCAGGCTCCCGCCTTAGCAGAACAGTCGCCCCCCCCACGGACGGAGGTGAAGAACATGACTGACACACGAGGATGTGCCGAAGTCAGTTAAGAGGGTGTTCAGTCTGTGTTTTCTCTGCTCTGCGCAGTGCATTGTGGGGCAGGCGCCACCTGTACCCTACCAGTGTACACAGAACCTTCTCGGCTGAGCTTTCTCCTCAAGAGCGTGCAAAACCATAACAGGTCAGGTGTGCACTGTTTTATTACCTGCCATCAGAGTGCCATTTTCCCCACAGGAAGCACTGTGAATTTAATTATGAGCGCCCTGTTTGTCATTGGGCCCGGCTGGAAAAAACACTCAAGCGTGCTTGGACACAAAGAGCAGTTTAACACAGTGACGGTCGAGACCGTGGTCCTGTCAGTGGAACGGACGCTTCACAACGTCCCCGTCTTTGCAGACAGCTGCCGCGGAGCACTTTCAGGGATGTCTCGATTATTCCTGCAAAGCCGATGACTCCTCAGGGGAGTTCTTAACGCTTCTCTCCACTATACGCGATCAGGGCGCCGTCTCCAGTCTCACTGGCTTGATGAGGGTTAAGCCTGGGTGAGATCTGGGACCGCAGAGGTTAGTCATTGTGGAGGGCAATCATTTACTGCTGCTTAAAACCGCTGGGGGCTTTGATGGTGTAAAATGTGTTAGGAGTTAAGCGTAATTACAGCTTATTTCCTCCAGCGTTACCCCACAGCCCCAGCGGAAAACAGAGACAATGTGTTACATTAGTCTGAAATTTCTTTGAAAGCCGCACTTGAGGGAGGGGGCGGAGTGTTTCATCACTTGTGTTTAGACAGCTCGGTCGAAGAAGAAGGAAATACCCCTCTGCTCTCTTAGGCTTACAGTTTAACCAAACAGAATGACCCCCGGGCCCTCAATGCACACACTCATAACTCAAGAGAGGCGCCTTTATTTTGCATGGTGACTTTTTCGTCACAGGCAGTTCCGAAAAACATATTTTAAAATGCGTTCAAGTTCACAGAGCGGACAAGCCACAAGGCTCAAGGTGAGAGGCCATGCTTCTGTGAAGTCCACATCCCAGACCAAGTCAGTTCTTAAAAATCATCTTTGTTGTCGGAAAACAAGGCGCTGTTTCTTTCTTATGATCACTGCTCCGAGGATGACAGATAAGTTTAAACACTTATTATAAATCAGAAGCACATGTGACTGGTTTTAATCCTGTGACTTGTCCACGCGATGACCCCGAACACAAGTCAGTCCCTGGGTGAGACACTGCATGCGTGAGGAGAACTGGAACTGCTTGGATAGGGCAGCCACTGGTTTTTAATTAAATGGTTACAGGAGAAAGGCAGGAAACTTGAGGAGCTGTTTAACTCTCACTTGTGAAAATGTTTTAAAAAGTGCCCCCCCCTCTTGCTCATGAACAAATACGGCACATCCGCAGTTGCTATGAAAGAACGAAACGACATCATATCGAGCAGTTACCACATAGCCTCTGGGTCCACGAGCTCCCCTCGGCCCCGGATCTCCAGGTATGCCCTAAAGAAAGAGCATCCACACCAGCTTCGTTAGAGCAGCTGAACTTTCCAACACCTAGCGGACAGATCTGAAGTGTAATGTATGTTTTGGAATTCCAGAACAGAGTATCTAGATTATCGACATTCACTGCCAAGCAAAGTGTGAATTTAGCCTGGGGACTCATCGGGGTCCCATTACATTGGGGTGAACAGAGTGCATGACTCCCCCCTGAATTTGGCAAGTGGCAGGGGTACCCCTCTGTACAGCTGGGTGGACTGGATCAGTCGGGGTGCAGCTGCAGTGTGCATGTCTGGGTGTGTAGGTGAGGTACACACACCGGGAGTCCTGGCTTCCCCATTTCCCCAGGAGGACCAGGAGGCCCCTGCTCTTTCTGCAAACAAGTCAGAAAAGAAGAGAAAGTCAGAGGAAGCAGGTCTGCGTTTCAACAGGCCCGGCTGCATCACCCGACGCCGTCACTGACGGACACACACTCGCCGATGGAGAACGATACTCACAGGCCAGCCTGCTTGCAGCAACTGGAAGAAAGAGGTTTGCTGGAACACAAGAGAAAACCAAGCGTCAGTAAAACCGCTTTCCGAAACGAGTGCGTACCAGCCACCCCAGAGACAACAGAGCAGCTCGGAGACGGATCTAACACCCACACCAGTGAAGACGACAGCCACCTATAAAAAAGGCACCGATCAACAAAGTTCCCAGTGGATTTTGCATTTGCCTCTGGAATCTACTTTACCCTCTAGACCCTGCAGAAATCACTGCGTTTAACCGAGCAGGATTTTTTTTTTCTGCGTATGCCGGAGAAAAGAAACCGAAATCCGTAACAATTCAAAACCGAACAACAAAGGAAGACGCACAAATAAACGAACAAACCCCGAAACCCTAAAGCTGGCTTTGGGGTCCCTGCTCTGCCGCCAGAGCCTGGCTTCCTCGCGAGGAATACAAGTCCCCCCCGGCCTGGGGGGGCGATAAATCACACAGCGGCCCTGACAGAGCCACACAGGGGTGAGGAGGGGTTTCAATAACACGGCGGTCAATCTCCACCTTATTAAGCCCCGTGTCTCACTGACAGCTTCTCATAATACAGCCCTCATAAATATTTAACTTGGCACTGACTCCCCAAACCCAAAGTGGAGGCACAGCTCTTCCCAGGGGAGGCGAGGAAAGGAGAAATCCAAATATTATGACCTTTTCCATGCTGCACTCCGTGTGCACCGCCCCTCCAAACCTGACCTCCCGGGTTTCTCGGTCGTGACAAGCAGGGATGAACCCCTCCTCCTACACGGCACCCCTCAACCCGTCAGCCGGTCCCAGCCGATCTCCCTCCATTTAACATGACACTGTGTCAGAATACAAGTCCTCAGACCGCTCCTATGAAGCCGTAATTACTATATTTATTATTAATACACCCAGCCGAAGTGAAGAACCCCTCGTTTCTTTTCGCACCTACTGCATGCCTTCCGATACACGAGATCGGCACCTTTAAAATAAGGTCATTTACTGAAGATATCAATCTGCATGTGAGAACATCACAACTCCCCTTCGCACTGAAAGCTATTTCAAACACTGGTGAGCAAAAGTATATTAGCATTTGTTTTTGCATCATGCCTTCTGCACTAAACAGAAGCAGAACTGAGATATGAGCGTTTGCACACAGTTGTTTAACACTCTACCTGCAGTAACTTCTTTCACTCAAGAAGGGATGATTTAACACACAAACCGGCTCTCCTCGCTCTGGTGAGCAGTTCCTCATGGGACTGTACAAAACCCCCATCTGTAATTCTTAGCTGCAAATTCTTTTCCTCAGCCTGCATGAGTAACAGCGCGTTTCGTACTGTGTGCAGGAGGATATTAAACAAGTGAAGATATCAAATCCCAGAACAGGGACTGGACCTCACAGCCTCTGGCTTTGAAATCTGGTGACCTATGGCTCTGCTCTGCTCAAGTGGAAGCTGACTTTTAATGGGGACGGTTGGCAAACAGTGCTGGCGATCAATGGCAGGTGTCATAGCACTCTCTCACCAGCAGGTGGCTGTGATACAAAACAATCACAAATGTGCTCAAAGCCCTCTCTTGTACTGACACCTATTCTTTTAATTATAATAATTGCTTACACTTACATAGCACTTTTCTGGACACTCCACTCAAAGTGCTGTACAGGTAATGGGGACTCCCCTCCACCACCACCAGTGTGCAGCCCCACCTGGATGATGCGCCAGTCCGCTCCCCACACACCAGCTCTCAGTGGGGAGGAGAACAGTGATGGAGCCGGTTCAGAAATGGGGGTTATTAGGAGGCCATTTAAGCAGTCATTTCCAAAACTCTCAACACTAAGGCTGTTACGCACTAAGTGCTGAGTTTCCTTTCTTTTAAAATCTTTAAACTCTGTACAGCTTCTGACTGTTGGTGGAACAGAGAAGGGGGACTACTGACAACAGCCAGGGCAGTAACAGCAATGACTAGAAGAGAAACTCCCATCAATATGCGGGGAAAATAAAATTTGATTTCCACTGTGGAGAGTACTACTGCATAAACAATGCTCAAAAACACTTATGTACGTCAGCTGGGCTTGTCATCTCTTTTAATATCATCTGTGGCAGGACTAAGATAAGATCACCTTATTAGCCCTATACAATTTCTTGCATTAGGAATGTGTCTTTTCACAGACCCCAGCTTGCTCTCCATGAGACACACAGACAGGGAGAGAAGCTGGGGGTCAGAGCGCAGGGTCAGCCGTTTATACGGCGCCCCTGGAGCAGTTGGGGTGAAGGGCCCAATGGAGTCGGATTCCTCAGCCGGCCGTGAGATGCGAACAGGCAACCTTCCAGCCACAGGCGCAGATCCTGAGCCACAGAGCCACCGCTCCGTGACTGTGGACTCCGGCCTGGTGCCTGACCGCAGGGCCTTCTCCGTCAGAGCCAGTCGTCCCTTCACCCCTCACAGCTGCAGCCAGTCTCCTCACAGGCAGGAGGGCACGAGAGCTCACATCTGGCAGCAGACAGGCTGCATCCGTGATGGGCAGTAATGAAGCCGACTTAACGAGCCTCCTTAAGGGTTTCCCATGGCCATTACGCTATACAATCAACGTTTTCCATATTAGGAGAACATTATGGAATGAAAAGAAATGTTTTAAATTCTTCCACCATTGCTCTTTGCTCTCACTAGGGGGTCTCCATTTTCTCTGGGCAGCTTGTGTCTTGGGGCTGCACGTCTTTTCTTAAACACTTTCAGGCCCGGACTTTTAATTCACTTTTATACACTAGGCTTCAACTCTTTAGCTTACTGTATAAGTGTGTGCATATATGTGTGTTTGTTGTTCTTGTCTTTATTGTAAATATCGGATATAATTTTTGACTTTTCACACACCGATATATAGAAAAAAGTTTCACTATTAGGAATGAAAGGGGATTAAGGAGGTTGGAGGTTTCACAAGCATCTCCAAAAAACTGTGATGTTGTCCAGTCTGTCAACATCACTTCCACATCTGGGAAACAAACACCGACCTCTGCACACGTGCCTGTGCCAAGCCCTGCTTGAGGCACACATGTCCACCTTGCATCAGCTCATGCTGTGTTCGTGTCTGCTCCACTTTGTGCTCGGAGCTTTATGACAGATGGCATGGCGTTTCCAAGCTGTGTGTGCGTGGGATGGTGAGGGCAGGGAGAGTCACTGTTCCACAGCATAAGGGATAAGACAATGTTCATGCTCCTGTGCCACTGTGCTGCTGTTTGCTATCATCTTCTGGCTTTACTATTTTGCTAACTATACCAGACTACAGATCATTGATATAAATTAGAAAGAGCAGTGGTCCAAGCACAGACCCCTGTGGTACTCACCCGGGTCTGAGCTTATCTGTATTGTTTTGTATTCTATAACCAGCTCTCAATCCAGATACATTTATTACATTGAATATCTGCCACCTGCAACTGAAGATGCCTCCTTTAGGAGGATTTTTTTGAAAAATGAAATATGTACTATATCATGTGCAGTTTCTGCCACTGCTTGTTAAAGGCTCTAAGAAAAAAAACTATGCTTCTGCTTGAAAAGCAGAAATCCTGTTATGTGTATCTAGTTGTTTTCCTAGAGAGAGCCATTCGAAACTAGTGATTTTTTAAAAAACAGCATCTTGTGCCATCATCCATTGCTCTCAATTTTCTGAAAAAACAAAACTGCAGTGAAAAGACAGCAAATAGGTTGATGTATATCTGCAATTCACAGAATATCCCTGTACTATCTTTGTAACTCCAACTGCTTTCAATTACAGCACGCTGGTTTATATGTGGATGCGGTCTTTAACAAAGCTGAAATTTACTCTCAGAAATAGACAGAAAGATGACTTAATGAGCACAGGGAACGCCGAGTGCTTTCCTCAGCCAGCCCGGCTGGTTTGCTGGGCCTGGCTGCGTGCTGCGCTGGGCACTGCATGGTAAACTGGAGGCGGTGTCCTCGGGCAGTCCAATCCCAGCCAGGACAGCCGCCCAGGCCAGCCGAGGCGACCACAGCTCTCGCGCAGTTTCCTGGAAGAGCTCGCCTCTTACGGACACGACGCAGAAAAACAAAATCCTCCAAACAAAAAAGCGTTTTATTTTAAGAAAAAAAACAAAACTGAGTTTTTTTCTTCCCCCCCAAAAAGAGAGACTCAGCCGAAGTTCCCATGGCAGATTCACAACACTGCAAACCAACAGGAAAAGAAACTTATAATCTCGGATCTCCTGCTTCTTTGATTATTATTGCACCGCGACAAGAGCAGCACAGAGGACAGGAGCACACGATCATGAGGCACGGCCGTGGAGGTGGAGGTGGTTGTGGGGGGGAGGTGCTCAAACCTTCCTGCTGCAAAGCAAAATTCATCCCCTATATTAAAGGCCACTGCATGCGCAGTACATGTACGCCCCAGGACCCGGCAGCCCATAAGGACTGGTGCGATTTGCCCGGGTGGACGGAGCTGCGCCACGAAGGTACAGAACACGCACCTTACAGGGGAGAGCCGCTGCCGAGCTCCGGTCGGTGGACTCACCCGAAACGTGGCCCACTCCTCCTCTGTGTTCCTCCACAGGTACAGGGTGGGAAGCCCAGCGGGTCCGGGCAGGCCTGGTTCTCCCGGCAGCCCGTTACGTCCCATCTCACCTTGAGAGCCCTGCAATTCACGCCAGACAGCCATGGGACTGGACAGCTTCCAGAGGGCAGTTGATCTCTGTCTCTCCTTCCTACCTCACTTGATGCGAGTATACATGCCTCGGTATAGCCTACTGTATTCTATAAACAAGCCCCGTACAGCTGCAGCATGCGCTGAGTGCTACTGTCAAGTACATGTGTGCTTCTGTGCAACTCAAGCCCATTTACAGGAACTACGACAGAGGGTTTAAAACCTCAGTGGAAAACTCCCTCCTATGTCCCCTATACGATGTTTTGGCATGAAAGGCACTTTCTAAAATCAAGTGTATTATTACACACCAAACACCTCCCCAGGCAGAGCAAATCGTCTTACCTTAGACCCTTTAAATCCAGGATAACCTCTTCTTCCTGAGCAGCCCTGATAAAAAGAACAGATACACAAATAGACAATTAGTATACAGCAAACCTTTCAATAGGACACAAAACCATTAAGACTGCAGAGGTCTCAACGAGGGGTAGATATTTTGGAAGACTGCATCGAATAAAAACACAAGAGCCAGCAGGGTGTTATTAAGCCTTGTACTTTCTTGATAACCTGCAGGACAAGCTGCGGGGCGACATGACTTTGCACACTCATGTCTAACCCTACAATCCTTGGTCACTGAAAGCCAAGAAGTTCAAAAGCTCCTGAGAGACACAGAGAAGCTGTGCTTTTAAAGGAAAGTGAAGGAACTGCTGCTTCATATTATTACTGAGGCAGGAGAAAAAAAAACAGTTTCTCCTCTTATTAATCTATCCACTCTACAATATGTCCGGCAGATGGTGATGGCTTAGATACTAAATCACCAGTCCTCAGAAACCAAAAAAGTAATTTCGGGAGGAAAAACCTATTTGTAGCTCAGTTTTACACATAAAAAGAAATGTCTGGAAACAGGGGACATGTTCCAGTTCCCTAAGGGATGTGCTTCACATCTACGGTCGTCTATCAGCCTGGAGCGGTCGAGGGCATTCGAACAGCAGGGGGAGGTGGCAGGTGAAAGCATATGGAAAATAAATCCACAAGGAGCAGCAGCAACAGGCTGGTTCTGTTCCCAGAGAAACTTTCAGGGCCGAGGAAGCGATTACATGATTGCTAAATCAGGTCGGAGTTCCCACTCCTCACAACGAGCTCACGAGCAGGTCAACAAAACAGGCCAAATAAATCTGTCTCTAATAAGCAGTTTAACAAGACCACACACCTAACCTCGGCCCTCCGCAGTTTCGTCTGTGACTAGTAAGGCTGTCCCAGGCCATTCTGTACGGTTTCATTTAGCACACAAGACCGATACTGTAGATCTTAGTGACTAAACCACATTTCAGTTTCATTACATTTTATTTTTTTAATTCATAAGGCAAACACACAACTGTCAAATAAGAACCAGAAGGAGTCTTTGACAGGTATGCCTAATCCTTATTTTTACCTTGTTTTAGAGCTTGGAACCTCAATTATAAAATCGTAGCCTCCAGAAAACAATTTTGGACAGTGATGATGAAAGAATTTATATTCTGGGAGCAAACAATCATACTGCAAAAAAAGTATTTGCTCACAGGTTCCTGGTGACTTGAAAAGTGAATAATCCCTTTCTGAGCTGCTCTCAGTCACTGAGCTGTCTACAAACAATGCCGCCTGTCACTGCCATGTCTTGGCATGTTAAAACACCACAGAGGATCTCAAGAGCTGTTCCCTAAAGCCACTGCTTTCCCTAAAATGTACAGAGACAGACTAAATGCGAGGTATTTGATAGAACCTCTTACTTTCTAGAGGGATTTACTGCATCAGCTGTTATATTCCTGTCAAAGTTAAATGACAAGTCAGCTAAGCCTATTATTACCTGAGCCTATACTGTATGTAAGTTAAGATACAGTATGTGCTGGCGCTACAACTATTTAAACTTAAGATAAGCTACAAAAGCACTTGGGAGATCTCTTTTGCAGAGCCCAGTCCAATATCTTTGCCATTATCTGCTCAGCCAGGTGGTAAAATGGCCACTCGCTTGTAAGCGGCACCCCTGACCAGGACAGTCCAGCAGTCTGGGCTTTAGTTCACTGCAAGATGATCCACTGGCTGTTTCAACCAGCTGCAGGTCATGTACTTTTATACCGAAGGATCATGAGCCATGAGATTTTATCATTCATGTCTTGAATTTTTCACTGTGCATTTTGAACAGTGTTGTAATGTAATCAGTAATGTGTAACGTGCAAACACCTACAGGATTAAAGCATTTAGTACACATCCTACACACGTAGCGCAGGGAAAGCATGTAAATCAGGCAGAAACTTGATTTCAGATTGGCGTTAGAGAGTTGGCTGTACAGCAAATTGAGCAGAAAAGAGTCTCAAGTAAAAAAGCATGCAATCTCGCCGGGCAGTTAACACTATGAACAATGTGTGTGCTTTAACTGACAGGCATCGCTGAAGGAGAAATTCAGAAAAAAACAGTCCTGAGAAAATGCTTAAGAGGAATGTGGCACCCAAACCACTGCCGCTTTGAAAACCCATATACCCTTTCATTTATTTATTTAAATGGTTTACAGCCCACTGGGTGAATCAAAACCTTGTTGAGCAGGAGGTGGAGTTGACGGACAATGCACTTGGAGTTTGACAAACGACTCTGGCAGATATACTGGAGTCCAATGTTCTTCCTGAATGATGATGTGCAGATAATCAATAACAACCTCCCTATGAACAAAGCTCATCGGACAGGAAAATAGATTCACTGCAGTTTCTCATGCAGGAGAACTCAGGTTGCCGGGCAGAGAAGTGTTTGGGTATAAAATATTTTTTTTCACTTTGCCCAGTCAAGTGCTCAGGAATAGTCACTGTGGAATATCCGCCAATACTGTGGGAGTTATTTATAATGAACCATAAACCAAAAATAGGTTTCAAGGCATTGTCTAAATACGGGGTTGCTCTTATTTTTTTTAATTCCATTTTCCACTAAAGCCTTTCTACACATTTATCCAGACACTGTAACTAGCTGATCACAAAGGGTGTATTGATGACTGGAGTACATATAATATCTTAAACTTAAGAAGCAATGACTATACAACAAAGGGCAAAACGCAAATCTGAAGACATTTGAACATTTGTGGTTTCAACTGCATTTTTCCACACTGGAAAAAATAGTCAGGTCAACAACAAAGGCAAGGATTTATGGGGGTTAGATAATTAAGCCTGCTCCAACATTTTATTCATGACCACAAAGGTATCCCACTGCGTGCTCCAAACAAGAAAATAAATCTCTAAAGATGGCTCGCAATCTTTTACAGCACCAGCACGCACATATCCTATCCAGATGGAATCTACTTTGAGACCGAACAGGTTTCCAAACATCAATCTATGCTACAGACTCGCTGTTAAAAATCAACCTCTGGACATGCTTTTCAAAGAAGGCTGACAGCGCCAGAGTGATGATGATTCGACTAGATGCGGAGCACAGGGTCAGGCTATGCACAGCTCTCGCCAGAGGGTGGTGGGGCTTGGGACAAGCTGCCCTGCCCTGCCCTGCTGTTGAAGCCGATGCGCTGGCTTCCTTCAAGAAAGAGCTGGATGAGACTCTGAGTTCAGTTACACACAAGCCACCAAACAAACCAAATGGGGAGAGTGGCCTCTTCTCTTTTGTAACCTTTCTTATTGTATATTCCTACCATAGGGGGGTCATGAATGACACCTCTGCACAGTGGATCTTGGGAGCAACTAGTTTCAATACGTTTTTTTAAAGTGCATCACATTTCACCGAAACGACCCGTCCTTAACTAAAGTACTTGTGCAATGATCTAGTTGAAGACCAGGTCGAGCAGGTACAGAGGAAGAGCGTGTGTGAGGGAGCGTTCGGGGGCAGAGGGGAAGCAGGGGGCAAGGTGCGACACGAAGCGGCAGGGGTGAAGAACAGCAGGCCAAGTCCCAAGGCGAGAGCAGGCCACCCGGACCGCCAAGGTTGGCAGGCGACCAACCTCAACTTCTCACAGGGTCTGCGTTTCTATCGGACACCTTCCCATTCAAGACCTGCAAGACGCTCAGGGACCTGACTGCAGGAGTCTGGCTCCCTTCGCCCCTGCAGCGAGGCCCGATTTCGCCCACCGGGGGCAGACCGCTAGAGCTGGGGTGCCAGCAGATACTGTGCAAGACCCATCGGGCTGCCTGAGGCACAACACGCGTGCTTCTCAACGACGAGCCCCTGTCCTGCCCTTGTCCTTCAGCCCTCAGTTCACAGTTCTCTGCCCACCCAAGGAGAGAAGCCCAAGATCACTCACTTTCTTCCCCGGGGGTCCAGGTGGCCCTGGGGGGCCTTTCTTGAGTCGGTAGGGCCTGCCGTCGGACCCCTGCACCACCGCGCCCTCTTTGTACTTGCGGGTGGCGGGGCCGGTCAGGGTGCTCCCACCCCCCCCGCTGCTGTTCCCCTGCCCGCCGCCGGCCCTGGGAGGCGCGCGAGTCGGGAGCAGCAGCTCCTCCTCCATCAGCACCTTGGAGTCGGGGCGGGGGGGCTGGGAGCCGTGCGGGGGGGGCTTTCGCAGGGAGGGCTTCTTGAGCAAGACGGAGGAGGAGGAGGAGGAGTCCAGGTCGATGATGTCATCCGACGGCTTCCCCGGGAACGGGCCCAGAGCCCCGGACCCGCTGTGCCCCTTCCGCTTGTCCGTGGTGACGTTCTCCTCGGGGGTTTTGGACGCCGAGTCCGGTTTGCCAGCTCTCGAGGCGCCCCCACCACGGGGCCCCTTCGGCGGCCCCCGGCGGGGCGGGGGAGGGGAGGAGGGGGCAGGGTCCGGCCGGTCCACCGCGCTGTCCGAGGTGCGGCCCAGGGGCTGCCCCGCACGAGGGCTCTCGCCGAGCGGCCCGTTCTCCGGGTCACCCTCCTCGATGAGGAAAACATCGCCTCGGATGACGGAGGGCGGTCTTCCGGGGCCCGAGGGCGAAGTGCCGTCTCCGCGGGGGTGAGCCACCCTTGGCGGCATCGGCGTCTGAGCAGCGAAATCCTGTAGGAGGCGACAGAGAGCCAGTCAGAGCAAAGCAATGAACAAGTGCAAAACAGGAATTCATTCCTATCTTCCGCATCACAGATTTTACTATCTGAATCTACAAATGTAAGACTATTATTCTTCGTAAACTCCACTTTTAAAAATACCCCTAATAGCACCGCAGCATGCAAAATGGAGCAAAAACTGGCTGTCTGAACAATGAATTATTTTTTTGTGTTATACCCAAATCTCTCACGAGCAGCCCCCTCATCAAACATGTATACAGCTGTAAAGCAATTTCAAAGCCATATATTTGTGGATCTGGCTTCCTCGCTGATCTGCATCTCTCACTAGTTTCCTGTGTTTGGGAAAAGTGCATTTGAAGCATAACCTCAGCACTTCGCCTGCCATTTCTCACATTATAGGGGCCACTGTAGAAAGAGATAAGGAGAAAAAAAAAAGATGCCAAGCCTTTCTTTAGTCCAGGATGTGTTTTGGCTAATGGAAAAGTAAGCTAAGCGTGGATGGGGCAGTGCTGTAAATTCTTATTGATAGCTTTAATGGGGCACTGCAGGGAGCCGTAAAAGGATGTGTGTAGGCATGTGAAAACCAGTCCAGTAACAGAAAGAGACCACAGGACTGCAAAGAGACTAATGCATTCGACTAATAGCCAGACACTAGCCGTGGGGGGCTCAGGGATTTAAGGCTGCGGTATTGACAGGGAAGAAACACCCAGAGGGGACAGTGATTTATATCCACCTCTCTGGGCGATTCCTCCGAACATCAAAGAGTTAATTGCATTTAGAAAGTGTAACTACAGTCAGGTGGCGGCCGTGCTGGAACAGTCATGCACTGCTAAACCCCCCCCGCGTCGACCTCGCGAGCGGTTGGCAATGGGTCACTCTCTGCTCAGAGCAGCATTTTGCTAGTGGTGAGCCTGTCCAAAGCATACGGGATACTTGACCCAGAGCAAAGAACATCTGCTTGTAAGAAATGTTAAACACAAAAGGAAGAAATGCTGTCTCTCTAGCTTCCGAGGCTGCTGGGGCACATGCTGTATTGATCTACGAATCTCCTCCAAAAGAAACCCAGAGAATCCGTTTTAACAATATAGTTTGACAGTCCTCTTAGATTTCACGTGTGAGCTTGAAACCTTCCTTCATGACTGGTCTTGAAGCAGTCCTCCAGACAGCCCCGTCATTCACCTTTTAGAAACTGTAACAGCAGTTTACTTAAGCCAAAGGTCTCCCTTTAAGAGCCCCTCTTTAAGTCCTGACTTTGCAGTTTGTGTTGGAGTTAAGCTGAGAATAGCAGTTTATTGCAACCGTCCAGTCCTTTTAAAAGATGCCTGAACTCAGATCAAGTGTTTTACTTCCATCCTAAGATGAACAATACTCAAATACAGTACGTCATCCCTAAACAATGTGCCCTGGAGGTGCTATAATAGAGAAGTATTAAGTGCGTCGGAAAAAGATGTCTGACAAAGCAGATGAATGAAATATTAAACTTTTTAAAAAGCTTTACTTTGAGTTCAGAATGGGTGAGAACAGAATTTTGACTTTATTAAGCTGACATTGATTAAGAAACTGAACAAAGAGTTTCAAAATCCTTCTGGACTGCTTTCCCGGTGCCACAGGGAACAAATGTCTACAGAGACAACACGTCAGCAACATCTGCAAGCACCAGTGAAGCAACAGAAAACAGGCTGTCGCTACAAGAGTAATGGGACAACCTGCCTTAAGAGGAGCAGAAGACGTATTTGGCCGAGAACTGCAAGGCCATTGCCTGTCTCCGCTGCGGGGTGTTCGAGGGGGACACCCTGCTCCTGCACGAAGAGCACTTGCAGAAGCACCTTGCGCAGAATCATGTGCATCTCTAACCCCAGCAGCCTGGGCAACAAGGGATCCTGGATTTCCGACACTTCGAAAATGCTCCGGCTTGACTGAAAAACGGGGAAAGGCGTCTCTCGGCACCTGCACCGGCAGCGTGAATAACGCACTGCACCGTTCGACATGCAACAACTGTTACCGGCTACTCAGTGTACATCTGCTACATCTGTCACGCCTCCCGGAACATGATGTCATATATTCCAACACCTGTTTCGTGTCCTAGACTCAGGCTGACGAGGCTCCGGAAAGCAAGGGAACAGAGGCTGGAGCCCGACTCGATCTCGCCGCGGCAGGCCGCCACGCCCGGGGCTTTGCCGACGGCATCAGAAGCGCAGGCGCCGGCAGTGGAATGTCGGGGGAACAAAGGCCGGGGGCGCACCGGTGGGCCTGGCGTGCTGCAGCCGTGCCTCCTGTCGGAGAGGGGGTGGGGGGACCCCGGGCCAGCCAGGGCCTGTGGCTCAGTCTCTCCGCTAAAACGGCTGGCACTCCGCTTGCTTTGGGCATGGGGAGGGGGGTCAGGGGTGACTTAAGCAACACAGCCTGGCTTGGAATAGAGGTGGTTCTGCTGACATCAGAGGAGCAGCTGTTCCATCAGGAACAAGAGGAGGTTAATTCTACACTGAAACACGGGAGAAAGATGTTTTGTCGGCTCTGCAGGGTTTGTTCAGGTGTGCAAGCAGGCTGGCTCCAATCAGAGTGGAATTAACCTTTAATAGTTCCTTGGCAGCCAGTGCACGTCAATGCTGCCCACCCCCTCTCCCACGTCATATGGCTTTACTAGGCTTCTCTTCTCTGCCTAAAGGGATAAAGGGTAGACACCGATATCCGAACGTCTCCGATCCACGGTTGAGCACCACGTCGAAAAGCTCAGAAGCACACCGCAGGCAGGGCACTGTCTGTACTGAGTGGGCCGACCTGACTTGAGGAAATGGTGAGCTCTATAAATCACAGGAAACACCCAGGTATGACTGTAATCTTAGCTGACGGTGTTTCTGTTCGGGCAGCTGGACAAACATACGTCAGAATGCAGGGGTTCAGCCTGTCACAGTAGACAAACCGCAGCTTTAGAAAAGAAAGGAGGGGTGGTAGAAAAAGACTTGCATTCATTTTTCACCAACAAATGCCCAAAATACAAAATACAGAAATCAAAACAGCCACTGTTCTGCTTTCACACCAAGCCCAAGTCTAAGGACAGGACCCTCCAGCCTTGCAGTACTTGGCCTTACTGTACTTGGTTGCCCATTAGCATCCTTGAGAACGGGGGTCTCGGACAGCCCTGTCTGCTGTGTCACAGGAAGACAGGAAGGCTGTGAGCACACTACACTGCACGAGTCAGCAATTTTCTCATAACAGGCTGTAATGCTAAAGCACCAGTCATCAACCTCTCTCAGGTGTTTGCTCACTTTGCGATCTCTGATACAACATGGGGAACACTATAAAACCTAAAGCCCTTCATACAATGAGAAAAGGAATTCTGACAACAGAACAGAATTCTGATTTTATATACGTGTTTTCCTGTCTAAATGAATGTGAATACACAAAGGGATGAAAAATAAATTGGCATGAAATGAGAGAATTACCCCGGTACATCAAACTGTCCGGTCCTTTGTAAGGACAAGCATGAACCCTTTTGTTTTGCAAGATGCATGCCCCTCAGTGATGCACTTAAAATTTGCACGCATGACATTCCAAAAAAAATGCATAATTAAAGAATGATTATAGAAAACATACTGTAAAAAAAAAAACAGGTACACAACCCTTTTAGCACTTCATGCATCTCAACGATGAAACAACCTTAATTACAGAAAAGGAATGAATGATCTAAACATGCCTACTGTAGATTTGGATGTCTTGACAGAAATGGGAAAGAACACTCCGTCAAGTGATTATAGCAACACGGCACCTGTTGATATTCTACAGCAGTAACCAGCGCTGAATGAAATCATGCTTGGAAAACAAGAAAACAAGCCTGCGTTAAGCACGAGCACGCATACATGTACGTAAACTATACAATACATCAGCACGGACCTTTAGGTCAGAAGATTGAAACATTCTACATCATAAAAACTAGTACAAGAGTAATAAAAGGTAAAATGCATAACATAGCCACAAACTAGAATCATAAGAAACTAACCTTCCAAGGGTGTACTGTCCTATACCATGGTGTATACACCGAATCAGAGTGCAATCACAATAAGAGCAAGAGAAGAAAACAAACTCCTAAGAGCACTGACAATAGTACACAGTTCCTCAGTGCGGAACACAGTATGGAACCAAAACAACATTTCTCTGTGGACACGTTTGAAAAGAATGAGGCGCAAGTTGCGAAAACCGAAGAAGACAGTGGAATTGGTCTAACTGTGGGCACAGGTGCAGCGAGGGGCTCCCCCCGCTGTGTGGCAGGGCGCGAGCAGGCGGAGGCCGGCCCTACCTGTCCCAGCGCGCGGAGGCACAGCAGGCACAGCAGCAGGCAGCCGAGCGGCTGAGCGGGGCTCCTCATGGCTGTGGGAGACAGACGGGGACTGCGCCGTCTGGGAATCCGCTCCCACCCTCCCTCTCTCTCCCACAGCGTGGAGCACACCCTCCTGGGCTCGGCCGCACCCCCTAGCCCTGCCCACCTCCCAGATACACGGCCCTGCCCTGCTGGCAACACCCCCTGTGCACCCCCACGGACAGCGGCACGGGGCAGGGCAGGTGCCCTGCAGCCGACTTCACGCCGCGCGACCCATCCTCCGCCCCCCTGAAGCCTCCCCTGTTGTTTTTCATAAACACTGCTCAATCCGAGACCTGCTGGAAGGCGGTTTGATTTTTTTTTTTTAATTTCTGCAATCCATGCCCTCCGTCCATTAAGGGAAATCCATGCGTTTAGGAGATTCGAACTCTTTTCCTCTGGGAATGTGTTAAGAAATGTGTGCAGGGCCAGAACCTTGCTGTGACATCATCTCATAACCAAGTGGAGAACGCAGCCTATGAGACTGCGGTATGCTGGGACAGGCTTGGCTACACTCAGTGCAGGAATAAACTAACATTTACACCCAGTCGGCGGAGACCAGACTATGACAAAAAGAAATGTTGCAGCCTACTGTATATAAATCCCAGCCAAGGGCCAGGGATTGAAGCCGTAGCCAG